GAGACGGAGTGGTGGCCAGAGCGACGGGGACGGCGACGGGCTCCTTTCACCCACTGCTCGATTCGCACGCCACACTGTTAAAAAATGGTTGTACAGAAACAATCAGATGAGTGAAAATTTAGTCGTTCTAAAACATAGAATTTCATCATGAACCAAAGCGAAACAAATGCCGTTGAGTCTAGAAAGCGACATTTTGTCGCTGAAGAGGAAAATTCTTGTTATCACTCTTTACGATACAATTTGAGTGGAAACAACATCTTTTGCAATTATCTACTCAACTAAAGCATAAAATGAATAATCATCTATTTTGTTCTTTTAAGTCATATGGAAATTACTATTGTTAAAAAACCATGCAAAATAAATTTAGCGACAATTTAGCAACAAAAGTACACTATGAATATTGTCGCTGACATTACAAAATTTGTTTTGGACTTTCACTACTTGTCGTTGATGTATTATTGTTGGTGCGTAATTATCAGTTAGTCGTTGTGAAATTATCCCTTAGTTCCAATACGACAATGGTTTAACAAGCTATTCGTCCCACAACAAATCTTGCCGCTAAAAAAGTTAGCGATAAATGTGTCGCTAAGTTACGACAAAATTTTTATCAGTGCACGCGCCACGCGCCACGCCACGCGGCCAAGCAAATCCAGGCCAGCGGCGGCCGCACCTTGCGCTGCTGCTATTAATAAACACTCGCCGGTAAAACAAATGCATCAACAAACGGCCGCGGCCGCGAGGGAGAAAGAAAGACGGCGCGATAAAGTTGGGTCGAGACAGTGTCGCGGCCACGTGCATTATGGTCTTGATGTTTTTGATCCGCTGCGACGAGGCAGGTTTATTAATGCAGTCATTAGCGCGTGATGAGCGGTGGGCCGGCCCGGGCGGACTACGAAAATCGCCTGTGTCGGCCTGTCTCTCTCGTACCCCGATGGCACGCCCCGCCTGTGGGAGAGAGAGGGCGAGGAAGCACCGTGCGGCGCTACCGCCACGGGGGCCGCGAGCCCCTCACTCAGGGGACGCCCAGGTCCGCGTCCAGGTCCGCGTCCAGGGACACCGAGCGGCCGGGTGGAGCGGGCAGAGACTCGTAAAGCAAAGCATTTAGCATCATAAAGTGTCCCTTTAAACCGGCATATTGCCGCGCGGGGCCCGACTGCTGGACTGCCGGACCAGCACCAGTAGACTGATTCCGAGAGTCGCTTTCGTCGCTCGGTCGCCCTCGCACTCACGGGGCACCCCCTGCAGGTGCGAGAGAGACGGCGCGACGAAAACGACTCTCGGAATCAGTCTGCAGAGGCCGAGTGGGATGCGTTAAAGGCAGAGATACGGCCAGACGAACGACGGACAGCACCGCCAGTAGCCGCCTCCACCGCCTGCAGCCTCAGCATGCTCATGGCACGCCTCGGGCTGGCTGAGTTGGTCACGGCGAAACCGCTTCGCCTCGCCTCACATCGCTTTGCCACGCGCCAGCCGCCAGCGCATATTGAAAAACTCGAAAGTCCCACTAATTCCTTTCTGAAACGTTGGGTTGATTTGCACAGCAGCTTGGCGTCGGCGACCTCCGCGACGACGGCGGCCTTCTTCGCAGGGCAGAGGAGGTGAGCCCGCCGCGCCCCGCCGCCTCTCTGCTGCTCTTTAAATCTGGAACCTAATGTGTGTCAGCGTCCTGGTGGCCAACCAGGCGGCGCGCCGGACCAATAACACTACGTTACGGACGAGCACGGCGACGTGGCGACGGTTCAGTGGGGGCACTGTGTTCAGTTCAGGAGGCTCCGGGAGCGCCTCCAGAAGTACCCCGCCCCGGCAGCCGCCGCCTCCTCGCGGCCAAGCAGCATCAGCCATCACAAATAAAAGTTTAGCACTTGAGTCTCATGCCGCGACCGCCCGGGCTGCCGCGCTGCCGCCGCCCTGGCCGCCGCCTCGGCCGCCGCGCCACCGGCCATCACGAACCACTCGGAGCCACTCGGCTTATCGCTTACCGAGTAATTGCGCATCATATCCAGCGACATTTCACTTAATTCGTTTTACCGATCGGCAGGCGGGTTGCTTTGCATAAGCCGATTGTGACGGGGAGGAGGGGGGGGGCGGCCCAAACACTCACTCCGCGCTCGCCACTGCCTCGACCACTGCCTCGACCGCCCGGTGCAGTGTCCGGGACGTCCGACTAATGTCCAACTAGGAGCTACGAGTGACTGCCCTGCAGACGGACGCCGGGCGACTCGTCGCTCTGTCTCTGTCGCACTCATGGCGCGTTCTTATGGGTGCGAGAGAGACAGCGATGAAGACGACCCTCGGAATCAGTCTGCTGCCAGACCAAGTTGAGCCCGGCGCGTGCCTTTTACAGCCACCCCTGCCCCGCCACGCTCCACCCTCATTTCATTTACAGAGTGCCACGTCGCGTCGACTCGCTCCCTCTCCCCGCCGTGAGGAGTGCGAGACTGCGAGGCCGCGCCGACAGCCGGCACGGCAAGTTATTACCCAAGTTGTAATGACCTGTAAGTCGGTGCCCCGTGCAGAGCACTGTGCGCGGCGCGTGCAGCCAACGCACAGCCAACGCGTGGACAGGCGGTGATCCACCTGTGCCTCGCCCGGCCACGCCGACCCCGCCCGACAACCCGCACACAGACAGACAGTGGCGCGGACCGCGCAGGGGCGGATCAAAGGGAGGGAGGCGGGCCACCCCCTGTGGCGCCTCGGTTCTGTAAAAGAAGGCACAGGCCCCTGCAGCCTTTCATACAACCTCCGGGCGCGCATACGCGGGTGTTACGCCGTGGAGCAGCTTGGAGTTCCCTTTGCGATCGTGTTCACTGTCAGTCATTTTCCGGCAGCGTGAGGTGCCCGCGTGGAAGTTTGGACAGGCGCTGCCCGCACGCGCCACCCTGCCACCCCACGCGCGGCGCGTGGTCTCGGACAAGTCATTTGCAGTTGCGGCCCGCGCCGCCAGCCTCCGCCACCCCCTCCAGCGAACTGGAAGAGACGCGGATGGAAGGTGGAGGCACGGACGACGGGGCCGCGGATAAGTTTGGGAAGACGCGTGCACACCGCGGTGACAGATCGAGGTTGATATTGACCATGAACACCTGTAGACTGTTTCCGAGAGTCGGTTTCGTCGCTCTTTCTCTCTGCACTCATAGGGCGCCCCGCCTGAGAGAGAAAGAGCGACGAAAACGACTTTAGTGGATTGGCAGCCAGAACGAGCGGCAGAGTACAGCACCGTGAACGAGAGATCTGGCCCGTCGCTGCCCCTCACATGATGCTTCGTCGCCGTGTCTCTCTCGCACGCACGCGGAACGCCCCACGAGTGCGAGAGAGACAGGGCTACAGGGCGTCCTGGGCGTGAGGGGCGAGGGGCGTCCCTGAAGGGCCGTCGTTGCGCTGCTGTAGCTGCCCTGGGCCCTCGCCGGGGAGGAGAGACGAGTTGCAGCTTGTTTTGGCAGCTCTGACATCCCTGTTACACGCGGTCGGGGTGGTGGCGGCCCTGCCCCGCCCTGCAGCACGCTTCCGAAAGTCGTCTCCGCCACTCTGTCTCTCTCGCACCGAAACGGCACGCCCCATGAGTGTGAGAGAGACGAGGCGACTCTCGGAATCAGCCCGGTGCCCTGGAGGCCGGAGGGCTGGCGCCGCTCCGCGCGTAGACACGCAGACCGGCAGTGCGAATCACCAAATTACATTTGGCATGCAAAGAGCGACGCGAGCCCTGCCCAGCCCTGCCCAGCCCAGCCCAGCCCTGCCCTGCATCCCCATCTTCATCGCCACGACTCACCTGCCAGACGAGGGCAGGCAGGGCAGGCAGGGCAGCCGCCTCGTCGATGCTCTCTCCTCGTCCGAGGGGCGACTTGCCCACGCCCATGGGAATGCCTTCCTTTTGGCGGCTTTTCGGGCTGCCCTGCCAACTGCCTGTGCGCCCGAGCCTCGCCCCCTCCCTTCCCTCCCCGGCGTGGGAAACCGTCGAGGTAAGTTCATTTCCCGTCCGTATGTTTCTTCCGAGTGAATGATCGCGTATCGATTGGGCCGAGAGCCGAAAGTCCGGCGGGCGCGGCGCGGGCCGGGTTTTGCTCTGCGCTCCGCCAGGCTCTGCGCGCCCATCGCCGTCGCTGCGACAGGCGAGACGGCGAGAACGATAAAAATCTGAATAGATGCGATGGCGGAGGGCGGACCGGCCGGTTTCGTCTTTCTTTGTCTCTCTTTCTCTCTCCTGCTGAGAATTTGTCTAATTGATTCGGGCCGGGTCGGGTCGCGGGGGCATAATGTGCTCCGCTACCGGGCGACCCGACCCGGCCCGACCCGGCGGCCCGACCCGGCCCGGAGACCCGAAGCCGGGGGTTTAGGCAGACCGCTAGGAATGTGGGGCCGTTTGGCCGTTTCTTCGTCGTGGCCGCAACAATCGGACAGAGCCCGAGAGTGAGAGCGAGAGGGGCGGCCTCTCTCTCCCTCCCTCTCCCGCGAGCACCCGAATCAAATGGCCGCGAGGCTGGACTAGAGGCTGGACTAGAGGCTGGACGGCGGCGCGGGTCGCGGGTCGCGTCGCGCGCCTTACCCGGCGGGGGGCTTCTCATGGCTTCGCAGTCGTTTGTAGAAATCAATTAAAGGATTCCCCGCCGGAACGGGGAAGGCGAGGCAGGCAAGGCGACACCGGACTGGACGACGACCTCGACGATGACAAGTGTGCGGTCCGGTTGCCGGTCCACTAGGCAAAGAAAACGCGCGGCAATACTCCGTGCGCAAGTGGCTTTCTGGGCATGTGGGCGGCCTCTTTGCGCCTGGAGTATATCGGCGGAGTCAATTCCTCCAGGATGGCTGTCACCATTAGTCAACGACCGTGGCCCCGTTTCTCGGAGGAGAACGCCTGCACGGTGGACAATAGGCAACACATGCTACTTCCAGTTGGCCACTGGTCTCCGGCGCGCCTGCTGGGTAGGCATCCCAACCAACATTTGAATTTCTCATAGTAGCGTGACAGCAATAGCAATATGAATCCCAATAGGTATTTCCGCTCTTCTCCAACGAACGAAACGAAAACACAAATTTTCCCGCGCTGCGCTGTGACCGGTTTGATCTGTGTTTTCGCGATCATTCCGATTGTATGTTTGAAATGTCTATGAAAGGGTGAATTTATTCATTTTAGTCTGGATAGCACAGTTACAATGTCTATGAAAAATGGTAAGAATAAAATGTCATTCTTTTATTTCTCTTGCGTTAAATATCATTTGGGTTCAGTTCCTTGCACTAACCTAAACGTCATTGTATAACATTTGTTTTTGTTTATACATTCATGAACAACAGCTATGAAACTTTTAACATTTATTTCGAACAGTTAATCTGTGCTTTTATCAACCATGGTGAACTTTGAGCTATACCTGATATTTTCTGAACTTATAATTGCAGCGTCGCAGCTTAGCTCCAAGTCAAGTTGCAAAGCGCAGACCAGATGATGAATATAGTCCTTTAACTCAACAATTAAGCAAGAAGGGGCGGAAGTTGGCATGCTCTCAACGTGCTCCCTTAATACCACTGACTCAAACGCCTTTGCCAGCTCCAGTGACGGCAGAGAGCGTATCTAATCATGTATGTATTACTTACACTGAAATGCTTCTGTTCAATCCAAAGTCGTACATTCTTCTTACATGAAGTCTTTATTGTTCCAGGAAGCCTTTATCAGAAATCTCCTTGCAAAGCCTTTCAAAGTACCTATCCCAAATTATCAAGGAGGCTTTTCAGGACGTGCATTGGGAGTTCGTCGTTCGGGCGTTAGAAGGCCCCTCCATGACCCCGATGAACCAAATGCCCTCATCCTTTATACTCCTCCAGAGCTTTCAGCTCATGATAAGCTTAAAGGAGAAGTGTATGTTGTAGACTTGATCCTTATGTACTGTCTATTTTATTTATTGTTATTGTGTTATTTTTTGAAATTATTTTTCTATTTTAGCGACAAGCAGCCTGTGCATGTAGTTGTTGACCCAATCTTGTGCAATGTCTTACGCCCTCATCAAAGGGAGGTAATTAAAAGATACCCTTGCAAGCCTCTACATACTGTTAAGATTATGGACAGCTTCTCATTTTGCTTTCTTGCAGGGTGTTAAATTTATGTATGAATGTGTGACGGGAGTTCGAATAGAAAATGCTTGGGGATGTATTATGGCAGATGAAATGGGTTTGGGCAAAACATTACAATGCATTACCCTTATGTGGACTCTGCTTAAACAGGGCCCTGACTGTAAACCCACTATCAGTAAAGCAATTGTTGTGGCACCCAGCAGTCTTGTCAAGGTAAAGTTGATCCCTGCTTTTCTCTTCATTTGACATCTCTGTAATTTATTGTACCTTAATCTTTTTCTGATGATTGGTTTCTAGAACTGGTTTAATGAGATAAATAAATGGCTTGGAGGTAGAGTTCATCCACTGGCTATAGATTCTGGTTCCAAAGATGAAATTGACAAAAAGCTCCAAGGATTCATGCAAACATATCGAGGCCGCCCTGTTAATCCTATTCTAATTATTTCATATGAAACATTCCGTCTACATGCTTATGTGCTACACAAGGGAGAAGTAGGGCTTGTTCTTTGTGATGAGGTACTGTTTTATTATATCCTTTTCCCTCAATGTGCACGTGTTCTTTTGACCTTATCTTATACATTCTCTTTGGTTTTGTCAGGGTCATCGGTTGAAAAACTGTGAGAACCAAACGTACCAAGCTCTGATGGGACTTCAGGCGAAACGTAGAGTTTTGCTGTCAGGAACACCCATTCAAAATGATTTGTTGGAATATTTCAGTCTTGTACACTTTGTTAATCAAGGAATTTTGGGCACAGCTCAGGCAAGTTGCAACTTAATGATCCTTTTAATCAATCTTTTGATTTCATCTTATCTGTAAACCTTGGTGTTAATGTGTCTTTTTTCCCTACAGGAGTTCAGGAAACAGTTTGAAATCCCTATTCTGCGTGGACAAGATGCAGGAGCAACTGATGGTGAAAGAAAACGTGGACAGGAGTGCCTTGATAGATTAGCTGCACTGGTGAACCGGTGTCTTATAAGAAGAACATCTGCATTACTGTCTAAGTATCTGCCAATTAAATACGAGCAGGTCATTTGTGTCAACCTTACACCTTTGCAAGAGAAATTGTACACCCAGTTCATAAACTCGGAAAGCATAAAAAGAACAGTCATTGAAGGTAAGGCTACAGAAAACTACAGAATTTTTTATTTGTAGCTAATCATTTTAGTATGTGCGATTTCTCATGAGATTTGTTTCACTTCAATCTCTGTGAAATTTTTGCAGCGGATGATGGGAAGAGTGGCAAGAAGGGCGGTGGGAAGGGTACCCTATCTGCCCTCTCAGCAATTACAACCCTGAAGAAGCTCTGCAATCATCCTGATCTGGTCTATGAAAAAATTGCCCAAAGAGCTGAAGGATTTGAAAAGGCTCTTGAGCACCTCCCAAGTAACTATGATGTCAAGTAAGTACGCATTGCAATGGCACTCTTGAATCAATTTGATTTCTTGCCCCTTCTCCCTTGCTGTCTCTCTCAGGTTAATGTATTTAATCTCTCCTTAGGAAAGTACTTCCAGAGCTGTCAGGAAAACTCATGGTTCTTGATTGTCTTCTGGCTGTAGTCAAATCAACAACAAATGACAAAGTTGTTTTGGTGTCAAATTACACTCAGACTTTGGATCTATTTGAGAAGCTAAGTAGTCACCGCCATTACAATTATGTTAGATTAGATGGAACCATGAGTATCAAAAAAAGAGCAAAAGTAAGTTTATCTTGAAAATAAATATCTTAATGCTTATTGAAATGTCTAAAAACTAACGATTATGTGACATTTTCTTGACAGGTGGTAGACAAATTTAATGATCCAGCTAGTCCTGATTTTATATTCATGCTGAGCTCTAAAGCAGGAGGATGTGGTCTAAATTTGATTGGAGCAAACCGTTTAGTCATGTTTGATCCTGACTGGAATCCAGCAAATGATGATCAAGCTATGGCAAGAGTCTGGAGAGATGGTCAAAAAAAGCCTTGCTTCATTTATCGCTTGCTGAGTGTAAGATATTAATCTACATAACTTGTTTTAAAATTTATTTTAAAATTTTACTCCAAGTTTTCATAATTTTCTTTTGTTTTGGTTTTTGTAGACTGGCACAATTGAGGAAAAGATCTTTCAGCGTCAAGCCCATAAAAAGGCTCTCAGTTCTTGTGTTGTTGATAATGAAGAAGATGTGGCAAGACATTTTACTCTGGCAGACCTGAAGGATTTGTTCAAATTAGAGAGGAATACTTTGAGTGACACACATGACAAGTAAGAGAATTGCTCAGTTTGCTACATTTTTTTTTATTTTAAAGTTTCATTCTAAAAATTGTACATTTCTAAAATGGGCATCTTTCTTGTGTTGTTTCAGGTTCAAATGCAAAAGATGTGTGAACAAAATACAAGTTAAACCACCTGGGGAAGAATTTGACTGCACTGCTGACTTATCTTATTGGCACCATAGTGCTGATAGGAGGACATTAGTAGATGGCATTTTGAAACAATGTTGGGATGCAGGGGTTTCATTTGTCTTCTATCAGCGGTCGCATCAACAAAAAACAACTCCTTGAAATTTCTCTCTGTGCTGTGATCTACTTATAGACTAGATAAATTTATCAAATTTTAATTGTTATACCTATATTACTAGCCTTACATAGGCATAAATGAAAATCAAAGTCTTATTTTATATGCTTGACATAAGACCAAAAAGTGACAATATTTTATGGCATGTTGGTTTAGAAATGTGAATGCTCTATTTATTTGATGCCATTAGTTAATTGATTATGAGTGCGGATTTAATTTTGTTGGGCCCTTAATAAACTTGTAATTGTAAGTGTAGGTTGCAAAGAATCTATTTTGTTGCATATCTGAAGATTGTTCTTTTCAGCAGTACTGCATGCACAGAACCAGATGTGAGTGTGTGGATCAGAACTACCTTAGGCAACTACTGTATAAATTAATAAGATATTTTTATAACCAGAGTATTTCATTTTCTTCTTGTGAATGCCTATCTTTTGCTTCCTATTTCGATAGCAAGAAGAGATTTTAATTAAATTGTTATCCGACCCATAGGCAATGCAGTAATGACGTCGTTTGAATGTGGCGGGCGACGGCGAGTGCACTGTAAAGTGCTGCACTCTGGTGGGCAAGTTTGGAAGCAAAGCGACGGTCGCAGCCGCAGCTGCAACTGCAGCCTGGGAGACCGCCCGCCTGCTGCCGCGCTGCAGTTGCAGCAGCTGTGCGGTCGATGCAGACGAGGCTGCAGTTGCTGCGGCGGAGGGCTAGCCTCGCGCCGGGTCGCTGTTCCCAGGGTACAGTCCCAGACAAGAAAACCCCGCCCGCAGCGGATTCCTTTGTCAAGCGGCGCGGGGAGCCAAATTTAGGTTTCCTCTCTTTCGTCTTCGGTCTCCGCACAGCTCATGCATAGTGCACTTCACACACCGCACCTCTCCTTCACCTAGAGATGGCCATCTGTGTAAACCGAATACATAGACGGAACAACAAAGACCGCAAAAAAAAAAAAAAAAAAAAACGGAACGGCAAGTTACGCGGCGTGGGCATTCCCTCGGGCGTGCACTGCTTCGGAAAATGGTACGCGTTGAAGCGCGTGTTCCCACCCCTCCTCCACCCCTGCCTTCCTGGCACCAAGGTCATGACACTGACAAAGGGTGCGCAAGGTATGGGGGAGGCTCCCGGCCCCGCCCTCCCCCATACTGTGCGTAGCGTTCTCGTCAAAAGCTTTGAAAAGTGAAAGTTCCACCTCCCCCTTCTAGATAGGTGACCAGCATTTCCAAAGTTTAGAGCCTTCTGAAAACGATAATGGCGAATGCCGAGAGGGCAACGACAGAAGCCAGGATGATGTCACCCACGTTGGAGCGACGGCCGTCCTGACATCCTTTTCTCAAAATGCAGTGCTTTGGTAATGAGCAGGTTTGTCATTTCCAAGCCATACGGGGGCTTTCAGTCTAAGAGTGGCTTTCCTGTTCTAGGGGTATCCCGGCCTCCTCCATCTCAGTTCCCAGCGGGACCTCCGTGGGCTTCGACTTATGCCCCTGACTGTACTTGCACCTTCTCCACGAAACCCGAGTCGCTGTGCTGTCCGAGCGCCGCCCTGCCAGAGGCTACACGCCGAGATCTGAGGTGACATCTGGGAAAACCTGGTGCAGACCGTCGGCATGCGGCACGGAACGCTCGCCTCGCTGCGTCGGCCCGCGCGACGCTCGGCGGCCAGTTTCGTGCCGAAGCGAGCTCGGGGCGCCTCGGGTTTTCCTGTTGCCGAGCAGCGCCGTGGTGGGGGAACCCGAAAGCACCACGCTACGCCACGCCACGCACCTCTGCCTCGCCTCATTCTAGTGCTAGCCGTGGACTGTTGAATAACGTACATTGTCGCTGGTTGATTGCCATTGCGCCACAAGAAGACGGCACATGATTACCATGCGTAATCTTAACCTATTCCTTCGCACTGAAAGTACAGTGAACCCAGTCGGTGATTTGGTTTAAATAGGCACAAAAAATCTTGCCTCTCGGAGAGCAAAGCAAACAGTGCTTAGAGAAATGGCCCTAGAGAGTGAGCCCCAATCGGCGCCTTTAGGCGGCTCCAACTTAGATGCTCTGAAATCAGAAAGGTGCAGTACCAATATTCCGCATTCCGCCTTGGGAAATGCGTCGTCATGCCGACTCTAGTTCGAGCCGAAACCTGTGAGAACAGGCTAAATTTTGACGGGTCGATATTGGGATGTAGTGGTCGGGCGAGAGACGCGTCGCCATCTTGTTTCGGGTGGGGGCCGAGCCGAGCTAGAAATCTGAGCGGCCATGACTTCATGTCGGGCTGGGCTCTCCTCTAACCCCAGACGTCCCATGACCCGTTTTCGGACTGAGTCTTCCTTAGTTTTAAGATGTGTGAGAACAACTGCAAATGGTATCTTTGATGACGAATCGGTCCTACGATCGGTGTGGCGCTCTGTTGGACAACAGTGGTTCTCCGCGGCGAGGGCGCTGGCTGCCGAACCGAAAATGTCCTTGGAGGACAAGAATATTTTATCTCGGAAATGCTTACGGCGCAGCGCGCAGCGTTCGTCGACGGAGAGCCCTGTCTGGATCGGTCATCGCCCTGGCTTGGAATTTTAAAATTCTCACTTCTCAGTTTTCAGCTTCCGCGGGTCCTGACTTTATTTCTCGAAGCCTAGCGTGTTTTATTTTCAGTCTCAGGTTGGACTCTTATTACGACGCAGTTTATTTTGTCTTTGACCCTCGTTTCAGTATTTTACACAGTTGACCGAACGGGGCGCACCGAGGCAGACGGATCGATCCAACAGAGCGTCCCCGATGAAATTCCAACGCCTGGCGATTGGAAAAATTATTAATTCATTAACTTGCTTGGCATGATAGTGGGTGGTCGGGTACTTTCTGTTCTTGTGCGTGCATGCTTACTCGCGTGACGTCTAGCAACACGTCAATCTTTCATTTTTTATATCTTTTTTTTAATTTTCCCTTATGAAATATTAGCTTTGTCTTTTTTTCATCATCTGTGGCTTTTTGACAGCTCGTATTCGCCCTCCCCCGCTCTCCATGTCTAAAACAATTTGCAAAATTCGTCGCAAGGCTCTGCTTACCACAGCTAGCTTTTTTTTTTCAACCCACGATCGCTATGAAGGCTGGTGTCTTTACCCACTATACATCAAACACGTCACTACTCATTGCCCCCTTCCCCCTTTCCCGGCGCCCCTCCCCCCTCCCGCCAGTCAGCTGCTTGAGTCAGCAAGTCCCCCCCCCTCCCCTCCCCCCCCGCCCGCCCCGCTTGTTTATCGGGCGGATGCCACGCAGCCTTTCGTCACCAAGGGGCCAAGGGGGAGGGGGTGGGGGGTTTTTGGTCTATTTTCCCATTCGCGGGGAAGAGGGGCGCGGGTGTCGTCAGCGGCGCAGTTTTCGCTGTAGGTCGGGCGGGCGCGGCTAGGCGCGGCTTGACTTGCGCACCGCGGGTGCATTCAGCGGGCGGCGAGGCAGGCACGGCCAGGCGCCAGGCCGCACAGATACTACCCAGCAACTTGTTTCGGCTCCGCGCTCTGCGATAACAGCTATGCCCGTCGCGATGGCCGGCCGGACCACCTCAGGGTAACAGCTCGCCGCAGGACATGCGATGCGTGATGCTCGCCGTGGGCTGGGCACGCAGGCACGCGTAGCACGCGCCCTCCCGACGCGCCCCAGCGACGCCCTAGACTAGACTCCCTGGCAGGGCAGGGCGGGGTCGGAGGAGGGGCGCGTGCCGCCGGGGCTGCGTGACAGTCACGACCTGGTACCGACGCGCCAGGCCGCCAGGCAAGCCCCAGCACGCCACGATCGCCGACCCCGCCTGTTGGGGTGCTTTCCACCCCCACCCCTCGGCGCTACCCGGCGCTGCCGCCTCCTACCCGTGCGCCTAGTGCGACCGATCCCCAAGTCCAGAGCCGCGGATCTTCCTCTCTCTTATTTTTGTAGCTTTCGCGGAGGCTGAAGCTGAATCACTCTACCGTGGCAGGGAGCGCCGCGCCGCCGCGCCCGGCGTGACCTTCAGCCGGCCCCTCTCTCCCCTCCCCTCCGCGCGGAGCTCGCGGTTCGCGCGGTGTTCGCGGTGCAGCCAGCGGGACGGACTCGACGGACTGCGTCAACGTCAAGTTCGCACGCGCCCCCCGTCAACGTTGCAAGAGCAAAAAGGGTCCCCTGTGTATTTTTTGGAGTTAGGCGTTAGGGACGCTGACTGACGGGCGGGGGACTGGGGAAGTCCCAATGATGTGCCGGTACGGCCCTGGCTGGCCCTGGCGGCTGCATGCTGCGCGCCTTCCGGCGCGTTCGCTCGTTCCCCGACAAGACAGCCAGGAAATAAGCTTGACCGTCACTCTGCCTCCCCCTTTCCACCCCATCTCGCGCGTGGGCCCCCTCACATGCTTCTTTCCAGTCTTATCCGAAGATTACAGTGCATATCGCACGACGCATCTCTCCTTTTATTGATCCAGCGTTAAATTTGACATTGAAAAACAAAAGTAGCAATTTTGTTTTTTTTTCCTTCCCCAGTACAAACAATGTGGATCTGGAGGATGGAGAAATTGACGACGATGAAGATGACAATGCGGTGCTGGCGGTCTCGGCTGCGCCGCCGCCTGCTGCTCCGGCACCGCCTCCCACACCCTCTGCTGCTGCTGCTGCTGCATCAGGCCCTTCTACTCCAAGAGCCCCTCCAACACCAAAGAATCATGACAGGAGGGAACACCACGACTCCTCTAACATGCCTCCTTGGCTACAAAAGAGGCTTGGCCCTCCACCTGCCAAGATGAAAAAGAACAACAAAGGTTCATGGGGTCCACCCAAAAGCAACTTTGTCCCGGAAGAAGATGATGATGATTTTGCGGTACACTTAGAAAAGGCATTGCAAGAAAAGGCACGTGAAAAGGCCAAGCAAGCTGGCACAGATATAGGTAGTGCGCCAGATGGAGAAGAAGTGGAGGGAGAGACTGAAGATAATGATCAATGGAGTCGCAAGAGGAGGAAGAGAAAGAAAAACAGGGATGATGATGACAGTAGAGATTCTAAGGTGAGCTTTACTTTTTATTGTTATAGATCTCTTCTGCAAAATATGAATTAATTTCAATCTTAAACTTATGTTTTTGCAGAAAAAGCGCAGAGAAGGGGTAGATGATGAAGATGACATGATTTTTGTCCGGGGTGCTTCACCCCACCACCATGACCGTCCCCCCTCTTCCCCACCGTATAGTAAGTGATAAAAATATAAATCTCACATTTTATTTTCAAATAATTTTATTGTACCTAAATTTCATTCTAATTTCTAGGAGATTATGAACATGATAGATCGTTTGAATCCTTTGGAGAAGAAGAGGAAGAATATGATGGAAGCCCTGATCGGAGTAACTACAACAATCGAGGTAGAGGGCGTGGAAATAAGATGCGAGGAGGTGGGCGTGGAAGAGGTCGTATGAGTGCTTCAAATGATGGCAGAGGAGGATTCATGAATAAACGAGGGGGTAAAAGAGGAAATAGAGGTAGTCCTGCTGGAAAATTCCGAGGTGGCAGAGAACGTACTCAAGATACTATCTGTGAATACTTCATGCAGGGTAAATGTCCAAAGGTAAGAGAGGTCCTGAGCCAGATTATTGTGAAACTATTTTTGATCCAACCATCAGCTTTATCATTGTCCTTTTCCTTCATTAGGATGCTGATGAGTGCCCTTATTCACATGATGCCACTCCTCGTCGCAAAATGGAACTGTGCAAATTTTATAATATGAACTGCTGTGCCAAGAGAGAAAAGTGTTTATACATGCACAAAGACTTTCCCTGTAAATATTTTCATACGGGAAGAAGATGTAATAGTGGAGATAAGTGCAAATTCAGTCATGATAGTCTCACTGATATGACTCGGATTGTACTGTTAAAAGTAAGTTTTTTGTATCATGCCATTTGTTCTTGAAATTAGCTTAATTTCCTGTGACACTAGTCTTGGAGGAACAAAATGGGTCTTAAGTTAAATTGGTCTAATATTTTGTTTTTCTATCTAATTTATGAACAACCAGCACATAGAATTGGCCCCCAAGGAAATTTTAGGGGAATTCCGGAGGCTTACTAGGGAACAAGCAAATCAAATTATTGATAGAGCTGCAAAACTACGATCAGAAGGGAAAAATCCAGAAGGAATTGACTTGCTTCGGATGCATGAGGATGAAGGAAATGAATCTGGTAAGTTTTTCTTTCAAACAATAAAAACAAAATAATTGAATACCAATGTTTGTCTTTGTAAACATTGACTTTGAAACTTATTTTCTAGGTGACGAACGGTCTCATACACCAATGCCATCGTCCCCAGGTGAGGTTGTTCCGAGTGAGCCTGAAATTAGGAACAAAAATGAGAGACGGCGTGACAGAGACAGAGATAGGAACCGAGATAGAAATCATGGTGGTGATAAGAAAGAGCATAGCGACAGAAGAGAACATCGAGATAAGAAAAGAAAGAAAAGATGGGACAGTCCTGAAAATAGTCCTGCAAGATTATTCAGGCTTCAAGAAGAATTACAGAGGCAATTAAAAGAGCAAGATGATGATGAAAAAGCTTTAGGAAATAATAGAAAACAAAAACATGCAGCAGAAAAGGAGTGTGTTGATGATCAGGACAAGAATATTTGCAATACAAGTGCCAAGGATACTGAATCTAGGTAAATCAGGTCACTTCATACAGTTACTTGATGTACTTTTTTTTACTCCTTTTTCATTTACTCCTTTGTTTGGTGCAGCATTGAGCCAAGGAAAGAAAGTGAGTCCGTCTCACATGCCGTTGCAAATAGTCCAGAAAAAGATGAAACATCTCAGTTGGACAAGCAGCCAGCAGCAGGTGCATCAGGTATTAATCACTTCCTTCATTGTAATTTTTTCTTATATAACTCCTTTTAATCTTAACTAATAAGGGTTTTAATTATTTATTTTTTTAAGTAGACAGTGGAGATGAAAGCCAAGATAGCACTGGTAATATTCCAATGCACCTTCCTAAGCGCCAACAAGAGCTCTTCCTCCGCATTCAGCAGCAGCAGCGAAGAGCTGAGGAAAACCAGGAGGACAAAGTAGAAGATTCAGAGGATGAAGCTGGTGCTGCTGAAGATGATTGGTACTCCAGTGATGAGGATGGACCTACTTCTCTCACTGATGTTCTAAAAAATTTGAAAGATGGAAAGGTGTAAAATTTAGTCTTGCTGTCCTAAATTAATTTAGACAACTCTAAACCAAATGTTAAAATTTTTAAACCGTCTGTTTTCTTTGTCCTTTTTTTTTTTAGAAAGAGGCGTCAAGTAGCCTGAAAGGTAAAGACAACGATGGTACCTCAGCTAGACACAACGATAGAAAAGAAAAGCCTCTGTCCTCCATTGAAAATGAAACTAAAAATGAAGAACCACAAACAGTGTTATCTGGAAGAAGACCTCCACTTTTACCAACTCCAAGTATCTTGACTGATCTTATGAAGAACACTGCAATAGATCAGTTGCTCTCCACAATTCGCTATGGTGCAAATGGCTCAGTTCTTCCAGCTTCATCTGTCTCTGTGCCTACACCAGTACAAGCTGAAATCACAAGGTATACCATTGGCTTTGTGCACTGCCCTTCTTGTTTTCTTTGATGGCCCTCTAATCTGTTCTATTGATATTCCAGTACTCCATTAGGTATACAGTCACCTACTGGTCTACCGTCTACATCTGGTGTGCCAATGCGAGACCCACGCCGTTCTAGAGATCCTAGAGATTCAAGAGATCCTAGGGAATCAAGGGACCCCAGAGATTCGAGAGATCTTATAGAATCAAGAGATCCCCGTAGTCGAAACACCTCAATTGCAGCTTCTTCTTTATCACCTTCTGCTTCCCCTTCATCCAATGCATCAGATAGTCGCATTGAGCCGCGCTTAGAAACTCGAACTGATCCTCGTTCTGAGCGAAGAGACCCAAGAACTGATCGGAATGATGTGGCGCAACCATTGATGGATGCCCTATCCAGTCCTAGAATAGATCAAAGAAATGACCCTAGGTCTTTAAAGGCAGATGGAAGAAGATCCAGTGATGGGAGTAATAGCAGTTTGGGGAACAATGTAGTTGTAAGTATGAACCCCCATGCAGAATTAATGCTGACTTTGCTTTGAAAATATACCAAGCTTTATGATCTTGATTTTGGGTGTTTCAGTATTATTTTTTAAAATGTGCTTTACATTTTCAGCCCCAACAGAGGAGTATTTATGAAAGTGCAAATATGTTGTCTGGAACTGGTGATGTAGACCTTCGCATCAGAAATATTGCACCTGAAACTGTTCATGATACAGATTTCCGTAAGCACTTAGGAACAGGTGATATGGACATGAGGAGAGACCTGACTGGTCCTAATGTATTCTCTGGTCTTGACACTGACCTGAGGTAAAAATAAATATACAAGTTCTTACTGGACTCATTCAACAATTTTTAATGTGTAATTAGATTGCTCATTGGCTCTCTTCTTCTTTTTGCCAGGTTTAGAATGGGTCATTCGTCTAGAGAGAATGACAATGAATATGCAGCAGTATCTCACAGTGATCTGGACTTAAGGCACATGGGACTTCCATTCAAACCACCACCCATTCACACGCCTGCTACTGAAATTAATGCCTCTGTGCTATCCTACACTCCTGGTGCCTACCATGTGGTCGTAATTGACATTCCTACGCCAGACTTCTCACAACTAAAAATAGATCCTAAAAACTCCATGGTAAGTTTAGTTCTGCTCTTGCTATGCTGTCAAGTTAGGTCAACATATTTTGTTTTGGAAATGATTTTTAATTGCTCTCTTAAATTCTTTTTTATCCAGGTAAAACTTGATCCAAGATTGCGCAAGGTGTTTGGGCTGAGTCAAAGTGAAGCTAACACCAGTACCACACCAGCATCACCCCCTGCAGAAACGTCACCTCACAGTAGTATCATTGCTGCCCCGGTAGCTGCTCCTTCAGACCCACGGCGAAGAAACAGCAATTCCAGTGTGCCAAGAAGAGTAGATCCTCGCCAGGCAAGGGTGGGTGCAACCGCCACTTGTCCCCCAACTCCCCGGATGGATGATTTTGATGAGCCTACAGTGACAGACACTGATCTGCGAATGCATCATCAATTTGGGCGACAAGGCTCATGGGACAATATGACCCAGAGGGGTCGTGGGCTGCTTCCTCATCCCAATGATAGCAATAACTGGATGCCTAATGCTTCTTCTTCATTTGGACGAGTACCTCATATGCCACAACACTCTTACCAGCATCAAAGATCTTATACACCACCTCCTACTTAGCCCAGGAAAGAAAAATAAAATGCTTAAGTACTGTATAAGAAAAACTCTTTAATAATTAGGTTTAACTTTTTATCTTTTTTTTAAAGATTCTGCAAAAGTGCATTTTAAAATTTTATCAAGATTTTCTTACCTGTGATACAGGGTAGATTGGTGGTCTGAAGTCATAAAGACAGAAAATGCATGTAATGTATGTTAAAAGAATTTTTGAGCTTTCTGTGGTGTTAACTGTACATGCAATGAATGTTTATGTGTAATTGTGAGGTTGTAAGGGGATGCTGTGATTGTTAACTTTATGGAAATATTTTATTTTGTACTGAAGTAGTATTTTTTCATTTTTTTTATTGTGTTTATTTTACTGTTAATTAACATAGTGAAATCAAAAACAAGTTTCTTTCCATGTAGATACTTTATAGTGTAAAAAGTTGTCTATCGGAAGTAAGAATTGTCTGTAGTGTTTCGAATCATTTTTAGGCATGCAGACATTTACATAATTTTCAATTCTGATGTCAACCCATCATGTGTCATTTGTTGTCCCATTTCTGTCCAATACATTCAATATGGTTGGAAAAATTGTCTGTTCAAACTTGGAGGACTATCAATTACTGTCCAATGTGCTGTCAGAATTTTGTTTTACTTTCTTTGAATCAAAATAGAAAGTTAGTTTCTGCCCCCTACCTTTTTTTAAAAAGTCAACTTTTTGTGTTGTCTTAAAACTTGACTGTGATATTGCGAAGTTGGGTATTGCCCTAGAGGCGCTCTCATTGGTGGAATAATTTGTTGACTTGCATTATGAACTCAATGCAGTTATTATTTCATAGTAAGTAAGTATTTAGTCATCTTTCACCGACGAATGGGATAAAATGGTCTCCACTCTTTAGGGCAGCTCTATTTCATATTTGTTTTTTCTAGTTATAATTAACCAAACTCATGATATGTGATGATCAAAGACTTTTAGTCATTGTTTGAGAACCATATATGATGTGAATTAGCCTTGTGCTTTCCAGTAACGAGGTGATAAACAGGTGATTCCATATTTCTTGCATGGATTTTTTTTTTCCCCAATGTGATTTTGATTCTTCTGTAGTACGCTCCCTCCCAGCTTTCTCTCTATTTAGTAAACCATTTTATCTGTGCAAATTTTACTTCCTAATCTTACTGGTTGAGAGATTGTACCTTTCTGAGCTTCCTTGACAAACTTAGAGGATTAGCTTCTGATGAATCATCAGCTTTATAGATGTCAGTGAAATTTAATTACATTGAATTTGTACAGCTTGTTTATGTTCATTTAATTTAAGCTTGATTTCTTTCCAGTGGAATGCACATGGCTATGAAATACATGTGTCAACATTGTGATATTTGATTATTGCTCAGGACCTGTCTCACAGGTGTTACAGCATACTTGTACTCCAAGGAGAACCAGTTCCCTTTTTATTTATAAATTGTTTCAAATAAATAACTTATTTGATAATTAGCATGCATTTATTGAAGAAACATGTGCCGAACTCTGTACACAGGGAATGCAACCTTCTTTCAAAAATAGCTGAAGATGGCGCACTACAAACACTCGAAGAAAGAATATGGTGCTTTTAGAGGAAAGGGTGATACTCATACTCAAACATACGTATGCAGTTAGCTCAACTTTTATTCACGAACAAAATAACACTTTTGTAACATTACCCTTTCAAGTGGAAGTTGACGCGCACTCCAATACATGAGTCTACTTATTAAAGGAAAACTTAAGGTGCAGCAAATACCTCGAAGAACCCTTTCGCGCTTCTCCGCAAAGCAGCGTGACGACACACTGTGAGGTTATGAAGTCCTGGCTGTGCACGAGAAGTGGCCAAAGCTGATGCACGGGGCACGCCTCTTCTGGGCCGGCCTCTTGTCCGCGGCCACGGACACGGCGTCGGGCGAGGGGCCGGGGTCGTCACGACACGTTCTGCGTCCCGAGCACTAGACCGAACACATCGGGGTCGACGGGGACCAGGCACGACGAGGACCTGCCTGGTAAACACTGGCGGCGGCGGCGGCCCGACCCAACCAGTACCCAACCCAGCGTGCGGCAGCAGGAGGAGCCTGGCAAGCTTTCCACTGAAAATGTGCCTCGGGTTTCGGGTTGGGAGAAAAAGCGACGGCGACGAAAAGGGAGGAGCTTCAAGCTTCAAACGCCAGAGAAGCCCAGGGACCCCGATATTTTCATGGCACAAGGGTGGGTGATAAAAGCGGCTCCAAGCACGATTACGTAGGCCACGCCCACAGGCCAGGCCTGGGCCAGCCGCTGCCTCCCCATTGGTCGGTGCGGGGGACCGGGCCGGCCGGGCGCAGCTAGGCGCAGTGGGAGAGGGCAGCTACTTTGGGGTTTTCGCGGCCTCCCAGGCTCGGAAGTGGTACAAAGAGCGAATGAGGCTGTGCCCCATGACAAGTGGAGTACTCTGGTATCATTCATTTGGAACAACTACGACTCTGAATCGGATGAATGATGAAACTGACGGCAAACCAGGCTCGACCAATGGGAGGAGTGTTGTAAACAGCCCGATAAAATTGTGCGCAGAGCACGGTGCGCGTGAGCGCGACTATGTGACTCAAGTTGACGCTTGACGGACACAAAACGAGAACTGAAGCTTTATTATCTTTTTTCGATAATTCGACCGTTCTTTGGCAAAGGCTGTCCAGTTTTCGGAAACAGTCTTTCTTTCTGATGTTGGACGGAGACTGGAACTCCGAGAGAGGCCGTAAATTTCAGAGCCTCATAGTGCGGTTAAGAATCCACACCATAGTTCAAGTTTCAAAGAGGAGCTGTACGGCAGGAGAAAATTCGAGGAACGATTTCTGTAGTCAATAAAACTATCGCCCCGTACTCTCCCCCCTCCATAGCTGTGCTAAGCGCTAAGCGTCGGTTAGCGCCGAGTCGCCCAAAGGTGTCAGTGGTCGTGACGTCACTCGACCAATGAGCGTGCCCGCTCCTTGTTTCTAGCCTTTGTAACCCCCGTAGGACATAGGCATGTAACAGGACGGGTGAGTGTTTTCAGAATAATATTTTGTTCATGAAATTTTGACTGGGAACGCGTCGACGTAGAGCACGGGCTGTGGTGGTTCTGGTAGAATCAGTGAAGGAGATGTTTTGCTTTCCGCTCGCCTCATAATCTGGCACGTAGGAGAGGGCTGTTGTAAGTTAGCGTAATGTAAAGGATTAGGAGCTTATTGAAACCCTGCGCGGCGCGCGGCGCAGCCACAGCGGGCGGACTCGCGGACTCGGCGGCCTGCCGCGGGGCCGCGGGACGGACTGCAGCTGCGCGTTGCACGTCCTCGTCGTCCCTGCAAGTGCTGAAACACCACAATCACGCTCTACGTCGGCTGGTTGCCCTTACTTCAATGCGCGTGGTTTCAAATATCTTGTTTGGACTGTGCTCCGCCCTTCCCCTCTCCCCCTTGCCCTTGCCCCTCCATCCACTCCTTCCCTCCCCCGCCTTCCTGCCGTCTGCTGCCGTCCTGCCCTAGCCCCCTCCAGCAGTGCGGCCCTCCCCTCTCTTCGTTCTCCACGGCCCCTCCTACCCCTCCATTCCTTCGACGTGGTACGGTACGGCCTGCAAGGCCTGCAAGACCCGATCCTCTGATCGCGTCCTAATCACCCTGCTAAAACGGAGGGTAGGACTTTGAGTCCCCCCCCCCCACTCCCATCCCCGATTGCACGTGAAAATTAGGAGACGTTTAAGATGAGACTCAGAGCGGCGCTTGCGTCATTCTGGGTGATCTTGCGGGCACTATTGCCCCTTCTCCGCCAACTGATGCAGCCTGCCGGGGAAAGTCGGCTCGGGAGGCTCGGTAGTGATATGAGGAGTAGGCAGCTACTGTCCAGGCCATCAATGCCAACGCCTCTAGAGGCCCCTAGAGTGCCCCTCCACCCCACCCCAGTGTTAGTCCTCCCCACCCCTTTCCCCGCGGGGGGCGCGGGCGACGGGGGCGTGCCGGGGCGTGCACCTCCAGGCCCACAGTCCTCCCTACCCCTCGGTTCCCCGGTTCCCACTCCACTGGCACGTTGATACACTATCCTTTCCCATTGAGAATCTTGCAATTTTCACTTGAGAGAGATGCCGACCGCCTCCCTCCGCACTTCGGCCTCGCTTCCTCATCCCTTGCGTTCAACTCTTTTCCAAGCCAAGCGTCGGGGTGCGGCAGACTGATTCGTCTCTGTCTCTCTCGCACCCTTACGGACGCCCCATGAGTGTGAGAGAGACAGAGCGACGGAAACGACCTTCGGAAGGAGTCTGCAGCTGCGGTCCTCGGCGTCCTTGCCCTTGTCCCGGCGTGGCCGACGCAGGACGCGTAGCGCGTCCGCGGTGTCGCGTCATGGTCATGGTGGCGTCGGCGGCCTGCGAGGAGAGGAGGACCCGGGGGACGCGGGGACCTCGCCTCACACAGCTTGCGTTGGGGCAGCGAATGGGCGCACCGGGAGGGAGGTCCGCGGGCTGGCCGTGGTGGCTGGCCGTGGTGGCTGGCCGTGGTGGACCGGCCTCGGCCCTCGGCGTCAACCAACTCGCAATAAAAATAGCCGTCGCCGCGCGACCGGGACATGACCGGGAGGGCCAGCGTGGGGGCAGCAGCCGTAGTGGTGCGCCAACTTGCTAACGCCGTCCCTTCGGTCCTTCGGGGCCTTCCCTCGGGCAGGCCCGGGCACGCGCAAGCCGCGCAAGCTGCGCTAGCAGGCCCACAGTGGGCCCTCCCCAGCCCTCCCCGACCCGAGGGGTCACCCCGCGCCACTCTGCCGGCATCTGCGGTGGCGACCAGTCGTAAACTAAAAATGAATGGGACCCTCTCCTCGAGAAACAGCATGACGTTAATGATGATGAATGGTCGATCTCTCTTCACCTAGATCGGTCGTCAATCAGAAAAACGATTTGTTGTTTGCCTTTACGCCTTCTCATGACGTGTCCTTAGCTCAGTTCCGTTCAAAACCGCCAATAGCACGATCAAATTTTAAACAGATCAATCGCTCCAATATTGCCAAGCACACTAATCTATCGATGCTGGATAACTTAATATAACAGGCGCTATTTTCAATATCTATCGTGCTTACTAAAATCATAGGACTCTCGTCATTCTTTGTTGCCAATCGCTATCCATCCCTAACCCAAAATTGAAAACAGCAGCTCAATAAATAGACACATTTGGTCATATTGGGAGGTTGGTTGCATTGCACAGACGTCAAAGATGGTGTAGGTTTTCACAACATCCGTTTACGGATAAGTTTTTCTCCTGCGTCCTAAGGAGTTGAAAGTTTTCTTTGTTGGATTATGATCCAACTAATTGAATATTTCTTTTGAAATCTCTTTGGTATGTAAATGTTTGATTAGTAACAATTTGAGTTTCATTTCGCGCTCAAAGAAGATAACGCACTGACCAGGTTTAAATACATTAGATTAGACTATTTGAGCAGGTAATGATGTCTGTTCCTGTGAACCGTCTTTTTGCTTGTAAATGGTCTTTATAGTTTTATTTGTACTGGAAAATGCGTCATACACCGTTGACGGGTAATTCTCATTTGGTAATTCTTTCATAGAGTGTGTAGTATATGGTTGCAAGTATCACTGACGCGTTTTGATTTTGGATGAAAAGTTGTTGATGACCGATGTGTCTATTGAAGAAATGGTCTTTTTCCATGGTATTGCTAACTTTTTTTTCGAAATATGTTTGAAAGAAAATGTGCTGAATACGTCGTTTGCATCTTTTATTCTTTTGAGGTTATGCAATGGTTACCAGAGAGTGATGTCTGCATGATTGGGGTTATGTTACTTCGACGTCCAAACCTGCTTTTCTTTCAAATTCTGTTCCAATATGGCCATAACTATAATTTACCTCGATGCTGAATGTTATTTTCTTTTATCTCATACACAAGCTGTTGCCCCCAAACAACCTTTGTGTACAAGTGAATGTGAGGTTATGTGCGTGGCCTACTTCAATGTTTTCATCTAGTTTTCACGTCCATTTTTAACCAAATACCCACTGCTGCGCAATGGTTGTCATCAGAAACCGTACTTGTTTGTGGGACGTCTTTCAATATTATGAATTGGTGCTCTGATTTCAATTTAACTACAGTAGTTCTCAAATGCATTGACATCTGTATGGTGACATTTGAATCTAATACCTGTAAACATTGTTCATTTGTTCTACCCACTTTAAATTTTTGTTTCTTTTGAAGGTTGTCAATTTTATTTTGGTCTTCTGTTACAGGATCCTTTGCAGCCGTATGAGCATTGTCCATCTGTGATGGGCAAAATAAAGCAGACGTTATAGTTGAATGAGGTGCGCAAGTTGCGCACTGAAGAAGGACCTATTTGACCTCAGGCCTCATGTGTGGGCTATGGCCTTGGGCCAACATACCCATGCAGAAGAGCAGCCTATCGTTGTTAGTTGCAATCCATGTTGAGACATCCAGACACAACCTGGATACTTCAAACTGGATCGGTAAGTTCTTTTCAAACTTTTCATTTTGTTATAATTGTTTGTATGATTTGAGAGGCTTATTTTGTTTTTCCACTTTGCAGTGACTTATCAGCCTTGGAGTCCTTGCAGGGTGTGAACAATAGACCTGTAAGGTTCTTTCTTTTTCTCTATTGATATGACCTTTCTGTCACAATTTATCTGTTATTAATTACCTTACTTTTGTGGTTACCTGTGCAGGGCTCAGATCGACTTACGCTGGAGCACATAGTGGACGGACTGCAGAGTGTGGTGGAGGTGCGGGGGGGTGGCCACTCCAGTGCGGGCGGCACTCAGCCCGGACAAATAGTGTTTACCCAGCAGCAGTTGCAACAGCTCCAACTGCAGCAGCATGTGGACCCTACGTCAGGATTTACGCTAACTCTTCATGCACCACACACGGTAAGTGTTTTCTTAGACTTTATGTATTCAGACATTTTTTATGTTCTTTCCTAAATGCTGTTGTTGTTTTCTCTTGCAGACTCTGAGTTCTGGTCCTGTTGCTAGTGCTTCAGCATCTATTGTTACATCGGTATCTAGTTCTTCGGTCCTTGGCCAGCAACATGGATATACCTATACAACAGCAGGCCTCCGCCTTGGTAATTCAAGTGTTCCCCTCTCAAGTCTCCAAGGTTCCTTACCTGCAGCCTTGGCAGGCTCTTTGCCAGCTGGTCTTCAGGGGCTGGCATCCACTCTTGCTTCCAGTCTTTCTCTCCAGGTTAGTTTATTGCCAAGCTGTGGTCCTAGGTATGAGGTTCAAATTGAGAGAACATGCTGACTTTATGCTATTTTCCTCTTTTACCCAGGCCCTTCCTCTAGCACAACAACAGAATCAACAACTACTCCAAGGTCAAAGTCTAAGTCAAGGCCAGAGTCATGGTCAAAGCCCCAACCCAAACGCGGGTCAGGGACCCTCTACACCGGGACCGGGAGCTGGCCCCGCCCAGGGACAAACACATTTAAGTCAGATCCCGGGGCAGGGCCAGAACCAGCCACAAAATCAGCAGGGCATCATCACATTAGGTCCACACAACATTCAAGTTGGCTCCTCTGGCCTTGTTGTTGGTGGTTCAGGTATTAAGCTTTGTTCAATTGCCTCAATATCGCTGCTAATAGGATTATTTCTAATTGCTGTGTTTGGTTCCAGGCATTCCTGTTGGCTCCCACCTTCCTGCGAGCGCTCCTTCTTCAGTATCCTCTCCAGGCTCTCCATTTTCCTTGCCGACAAGATCGCCTGCACCTCCTCATGCTCCTCCCACTCCCTCCCCCAGCCCAGGTGTGCTTTTAAGGTCCCCAGCCACACCTCTTTTACCCCCAACATGTTCTTCCCCAGCACCGTCTCCCTATCAAAATCCCCGACAAAGTCCTCAATATCAAGGAAACACCCAAACTCAAGGCAGTGCTAACAATGGTGCCATATCTGTCAGTGTTCCTATCCGCTCCCCCGCTCCCCCATCTCTTACTCCTGTTCCATCCCCCTCACCTCAGAGTCGTGCTGCACCCTCCCCTTCAGCTGCCACTCAGCATACTGCTGTCATTCACCAGGTATTTGATTTGGTTCAGCTAAAGGTCCACGCCAATTATTGGAGCTCAATTGTCAATCTCTTGTGAATTAATTCTTTATTATTATCCTGCAGGCTGTTTCATCGCAAGCACAGATGGTGTCCTCCCAAATGTCAGCTTTAGGTCAAACCGTTCTTCCCATGGTGGCTCAAAACCCAACTCAACAATTAGTGCAGATAATACAGCAGCAGCAACAGTCCGCCTTAGCAAGTGGCCCCAATACTATTGCAACGTTTTCCGCTGGCCGGACAACACAAATTATATCAAACCCAGGTAAATGCATAGTTAGGTTGAATTTTTTTCCCTTGTAATTCTGATTCTAAGTGATCTTAGTTTGGAAGGGTTGTAGAAATCAGTGACAAAAATCAAATCTTATATTAATGGTTGATGAACAAGTTATTGAAATTGATTCTAACTGATAATATGCTTCTGAGAAGAAAATAAGCCAGAAAATGTGTATTGTGCATGATTTCTAGGCGACAAAACATATCTGTGGATGTGATCTTCGCTTCTATGTGTCAGTTGTGTTGTGTGTGCATGTGCATGCCCTTCCACCCGCCTTAAACCCTAACTTTCTCTTGAAAAGTTAATTTGTAAATTTAGCAAGAAATTACATATTCATATTCAGTACTGTTTTTAAATTATTTGTCCCACTAGGTTGCTTTATTTTTGTTACTTGTAATAATTTGCAGATGCATTTATCAAACCCTTATATTTTGAACTCTAATTTGAATCCTATATCTTTGTTCTTTAGTGAAGAAGTGTATCTATCATTTTTCTTGTAAATAGAAGTGCTATGGTGTTCATGTGTTATCTTTTAGTGTTAAAGTTACTTTTTCTGTCTCTTTTTCTAAAATTTTATTGTCTATTCAAACTTGAAGCATTTAAAGGTAGAGGCAAGAAAAAAATAAGTCCCTTTTCTGTCTGTGTTATGTCTCCTCCTTTGTGCTGACTTTTGGGCATCAAGTCGCCTGGGCTTCTATGGGAATTGTGTCTGTAATGTATATGTGTGTTTGTGTGTGCCTGCAGCCAACAATATGATGACGGTTCCAATTCAGGCAACTCTGAAGGCTACAAAGCAGCATCCCCAGATACTACCGAAACCCCCTGCAACCCCTGGCTCCGCTGGTGAGGATTGCTCTGCTGATTTGCAATCATTGTTTGACGTGTTTCTACTTTTTACATGAATGATTCTATTTAGAATTTTATCTTCAATTCAACTTTTTAAATTTTCATTCGCACTATTGTAGTCACTAATACTCTTGGAGAAACTTTTTTGTGCTCAGTTCTAATAGATTTTCTCCATCTTACCAACTTGTCTCCCACTGCTTTGTCACCTTTATTTGTGTATTTTACTCTAGTGAAAATTATATTTTTAATTGTAATTTTCTTCCAGTCTAATATTGATTTTTCTGCATGCCTCTCACTCACCGTGTGGCTGAAAGAAACCTTTATGCTTTTATGTGCTTGCATGATGGAATTTGTAAACTGTTTGTAACCCAAACCTTTGTATTGGTGTAACTTTTTTTTAATTAATCCTTTTTCATGACAATGTCTGCAGGGCTCAACAACAAGAACCGCAACACTGTCACAAACTCAACCTCTATCGGCGGGAACCCACTTCAGCCTCAAGCTCAGCTTGTGATAGGACAGAGTAATCAGACTGCTACAGCTACTGCTGTTATTCCTACAGCTCCTGCTGGTGCTCTCCTTTTTAATTCGGTAATCTAATCAGAGCAATAATAATAATTGTAAAATTCAAATTGTCACTCTTAAGTTTTTGCATTTGCTATCATGGGGATCTGGTTTTTCTCTTAGATGATGGGTGGATTGACATCCAGTACACCTATGATAGTACAACAACAGAGCAGTGGTATGCAGTTAATTTTGAGACCACAGGGACCTGCTGGCCAGGCTCAAGTTCAAGCTACCCAGCACACCACGCAGACACAAGTCCAGCAAAGCAAATCGGTAGTCCTTGGCAATGGTAGCGGACTTGGAGCCCCTGGAACTGTTTTCATAACCCATCCACAGGTAAGAAAAGCTTGTATTCTTGATAGTTGGAAGCCATCAACCTCCTTTTGTCCCCAACTTAATGTCTATTTTGTCTCTCTTGCCTTCAGGCCAACAGATCCACTCCACTATTCAGGATAATCACAACTCCAGGAGCTCCAATGCTCCAGCAGATTCATCAAAGTGGCCCAACTTTAATTCTTCCTCAAACTTTAGGTTCATTGAGTTTCCCAATGACTCAGTTATCAGCGGGCTCACCTCAGCCTATGGCGCAGCCATCTTATACTCAACAAACTCAGACAATTCAACAGAAGGTTGTAAGCCTGCCATCACATGTACCTGTCTCTTTAGGAAGTCTTCAACAGCAACAAAACATATCAACTTCTCTGGCAAATCAGTTGCCAGTATCTCTTGCTAGTCAAATTGGGGCACTTCCAGTCAATGTGGCTGTGTCTCAGCACCAACAATTATCCACTCTTCAGGCACCTGTGTCAGTATCCCAAGCTAACCTTCACATTCCAGTGTCAATGGCTACTCTGGCTGGCCAGACGCATTTGCACAGCTCTGACAAATTAGTAAACCATTTGGCATCTAATGTTTTGGTGAGTAAAATCTGTCAAAACCTACATCTTTTTTACGAAGGTGAAGTGTGCAGAATCATAACAGTTTTTCTGTGTTTTTTATTTCAGGATTGTGGAAATGGTTTTGGAGGCCTTTCCACATCAAGAGTTCAGTTATGTAGCCCAGTCAGTAGTGCTAACAGCACTGTTACCTCAACGTGGCAGAACATTATTAACTCGCCCCCACCAGTTCAAGAACAGCAACTACCCTCTTCAGTTACCACTAATGTATCTTCTCAACAGTCCTTCCAAACATTGTTGCAATCACATCAAACTAATCAAGCTCCTCAAGTGCAGCAGCCACCTCCAGTACAACCACAGCAACCGACTGCCCCTCCACCCAAGCCTAAAAAGAAAAAGAGCAAAAAGAAGAAGAAGGATGAAGAGCCCAAGCTGGACTTGGCCAATATTATGAAGCTCTCAGGTATAACTGGACTTAATTTTAAAAATTATTAGTACTGGCAACTTCAGATTACCTGTTTTTTTTTCTATCTATTTTTATTAATTTTGTTTTTCTGCAATTTAGGCATTGGAGATGAGGATGACATTGGCCCATATGAGACTGAGGATCCTCCAGTTGTAGGAAATGTGGTTGTGGGAGGTGGTTTGGATCCAAGCACTATTGCTTCACAAGTTACCTCTGTCCCTGGAAGCACTGTGGGGCTGGTCCCTGCACAGTCACCACCAGCAGAACCTCTCAACTTACAGGTATTTGCTCTCATTAGTCCTTCAAAATGTTGACTGTCCTTATTCAGTTACAGCCTATTAAACTTTGGGTAATTGTTTCAGGGTCTTAAAATAGTTGTGAATGAAGACGGCAGAGTTAATTTGCTTCAGCAATTGAATGATGGCACCACAGCCCCTATAACTGCTCAGGTAGAGATGATTTGCTTACTGTCTCTTTTGTTCAGCTCTACAGCTTAGTTTTGGTAATTGTTTTTCAATATTTTTATTTTTTATTTTCAGTCCCTCACGTCAGCAAACGCTCAGGTGTTGCTTCAAAGCCTTGCAGCACAAGCAGCACAGCCAGGTGGACAGTATGCCTCCACCATTGCAGCAGCTGCTCACAGTCAGCTATCTCAGCTTTTGAATGCCAATCCACAGAGGCAAAACTCGATAATCCCGCAGGTCAGTGTATCTTCATAAATTATATTGTATCACAGCACAACACAATTTGGTGTTTCTGGATCTATTGTTAACACCTTTTTCATATTTTCTTTTCCATAGGCAACTGTTGTCCCTGTAAACAAAGCAGCCAGTCTGAATACAAGCACCAACGCTGTTATCAGTCAACCCCCACAAGTGGCAGCACCCACTGCAAACATCAACAGACTAGTTTCTGCTTCTATAGCCGGAATTCCACCCTCCTCTCAGACTGTGCCTCAACCAATTAAGTCTCAAGCTGCGGTTTTGTCCACTCCTGTCACATCTATTCAACAACCAACTTTCTCCCTTCTGCCGCAGCAGCAAACTGTACCTGCACCCGCTCCCGCTCCTGCCTCTGCTCCTGCAGCACTTGTTACCGTCCAGCCAACTGTGCCATCCTCCATTACTCTCCAGCCTGCAAGTGTTGCACCTACGCTTCCTCCACAGAGCCAGCCACAGCTCACCTCTCTTCCGTCAGAACATATTTCTTCAATAGCCCCAAATCCGTCCCCTCTAGCTTCAAGCATCAACACTACTACAACCAAACCTCCTGCATCTGGTGTTAGTGCAGCACTGGAGCAAGCCTTCATGCAGTACCTTCAGAATGCAGGACTGAACACGGAGTCCATAGTCATCACCCCTCAAAATGGTGTACCCACTGTTGTTGGAGGGGCACAGCTCCTTCAGCTGCTACAGCAAGCTCAAGCCCAGGCCCAGGCTCAGGCTCAAGCACAGGAGCAGCTACAACAGCAACAGTTGCAGCAGCAGCAGCAGCAGTTACAGCAGCAACAGTTACAACAGCAGCAGCAGCAGCAGTTACAGCAACAACAGTTGCAGCAGCAGCTACAGCAGCAGTTGCAACAACAACAGTTGCAGCAGCAGTTACAACAGCAGCTTCAGCAGCAACAATTGGTAACTGTCAGTAATTTTAATGTCTCTTGGCACATAATTTTGATATAGTTTTAATCATTTTTATTGCCTTTGCAGCAAGTTCAGCAACAGGTCCAACAGCAGATTCCTCAACTTCAACTCCAGGCCATTGTAACACAAGCTCAACAGCAGACTCAGCCTCAGGTGCAACAACAGGCACAATCACAGGCTCAGTCTCAGTCACAACCACCTCCAGCTCCTTCACCACAGCTTGTTGTTTCCACTCTACCTCAGCCTACTGTGCAAATTCAGCAGACTCAAATATTGCCCCAGAAACAAGGAACTGTGCAGCAGTGGGACTCTATAAAGGTGACGGAAACAGGGGAAGTGCTCCTAACGGGCAAAGTTGGCATCACTGGTGGTTCTAGTGCAGGCATTGGAACCCCCACGACAACTACAACCACGAGCACTGTTGTAATGGGTACGGTACAGGATGCCTTGCAAGCCAAAGGGACCGCCAACGTCAAGACTGTGTCACCTTCTCCGGTAAGAGCAGGATTGATGTATAGCATTTTTCACAACTGCTTGGCACAAAGGTTATTTTGATGTCTATTTCTTATTTTTATTTTCAACAGGTGCTTCCCGTCAGAAGAAATTCTGCTGAGCCCACAGCAAGTCCAAGAATTCAACCTCCTCCATTCCAGTCTCCACAGTTGCAGTTAACGCAACATAGTTTGCCAGTCTCTCAACCTCTGCCAACTGCCTGTACCCAAGATCAAATGGAGCAGGTGTTGAATAATGCCTTTTTGGACAGCTTGGCACAATCTCGTCCAAACCTTCTGATTAACAAGAGCATTGGCAAGCCTGCCAGCAGTACGGTTGTGGATGTAACACCAAGCATAAATGTTACACCTTCTAATCGCAAGTCTAAGAAACGGAAACAGCCTCCAAAAGTGAGTGTGACTGTTCAGCCTCAAGCTCCTCCAGTGCAACAGTCTCAGCCTCTGACTGGACAGTCAGCCCCTACAACCACCAGCATTCAAGCATCTCGTCTGGCTGGTCCACTGATTAATGTCAAGGTGGCGAGCAGTGAAAATTCAAAAGTGACTAACGTTGTGGGACCAATATCCTCTACACCAACTGTGTCAAGTGTTGAAACAAACCGGACTAAAGCCCTTCCGTCCTTTTTTGTGTCGAACCCTAATTATACAGTTGTGTCTAAAAACAATACCACAACCTTAGTGGGAGTGAATGCAAACAATGTGGCATCAGCTCATACAGCTCCAGTGACAGCACAATCAATGCCTTCATTAACATCCAATGTCACGCCATCTCCAGCTACTAGTCAGATTGGTGTTGTGAATAACATTGCAGTAAAAACTGTACCTGCTGCATCTGCTCCCTTCATCAATAATGCTGTTTCGAGTACAAACACTACTCGTGTAAATCATGTTAACACAGTGAATTCAAATGTCAACTGTGTTCGTGTAAATAGTTCCACTGCCAGTAGTGGTGTTAACGCCTCAGTGCCCCCCAATCTTATTCCAATCCCAACCAATAGTCCATCTGTGGGAGCTCCTGGTTCAGTAGCCTCCTCTATTCCAACAAACCCAGCAGGAATTGCTTCTCAATTACCAAGTGCTACCCAACAGCCACCATTGCAGCGGATCCAGACCATCTCATTGACAGCGGCCAAGCAATTGGTATTCAATTCTTTGACAAGGAATCATGGGCTATAATATTTTGCATTTACTAATTTTTTTTTCTACTTTTGGTTAAACAGCAATTTAAGGCAGTTAATCAACAATTAAGTGTTCTTAACACCAAGAAGATCAAGACACCTGCTGATGAAGCACAGTTTCAAAGACTCCTTGCTGAGCAACAGAAAATTCTGAATAGTGGAAAAGTGTTACCAAATCCACCAGCTCCTCAGTTGGTGAGTTGATTAATTTGACGGATGGATGATTATTTGAAGTCTGTTTTATTTGTATTTCTCATGATGCCTAATATCTAATCTAATCTTCCGCTTCTTTTTCATCCCAGGCCCAGTTCATGCAAAGTGTCGGTAGTAGCTTAGAAGCAAGTGGAGATGGCACAACTAACCACCTTAATTCCTTATCAAGCAAGGGGCAGATTAATAGTTCTTTTGTGGTCAATATGACACCTGTGGTAAGTAAATCCCGTGGTTTTATCATAAAAAAAGGCTGCTTTGAAACTATTTTGTGTAATTCACTTTCTCTTTTGTTTATTTTCAAGGTGACTGCCATCACATGCACCCCTCCTACAACAGGAGTAACAACTACTTCATCATCCTCATCAACATCCTCTGTCCGTTACTATCATCATGTTGGAAACCAAGTCATTACTCTTACCCCTCAGCAACAACAACCGTCACAACCAGCTACAGTAGCAGCAGCAGCACCACCTCCTACTACTTCAGTACCAACACCTGCTCCAACTGCTTCAGTATCTGCACCTTTGGTGCAAATTCAGGTTTCCCAACTGCAGCCCCAGGCTCAGCCGCAGGCTCAGCCCCAGGCTCAGCCCCAGGCTCAGCCCCAGGCTCAGCCCCAGGCTCAGCCCCAGGCTCAGCCCCAGGCTCAGCCCCAGGCTCAGCCCCAGGCTCAGCCCCAGGCTCAGCCCCAGGCTCAGCCTCAACAGCCCCAGCCACAACTGACTCAGCCCAGCCTCAGCCTCAACAGCCCCAGCCACAACTGCCTCAGCCCCAGCCTCAGCCACAACAGCCCCAGCCACAACTGACTCAGCCACAGCAGGCTCGGCCTCAGCCTCCAATGTCAGCACAGCCAGCAACCCAGCCTCCTGGATCGACGCCGCCTCAAGCATCAACGTTACCCCAAGCAGTGGCGCAGCCTCTGGCTCAGCAACAGCAAGTTCTGCCTGCTCAACCAGCTTCGCAGGCGCAGTTCAAGCCCAGCAAACCTGAGCAGTCAAAACAACAGCCATACCAGGCCCAGCAATCATTCCAACCCAACCAACCACAGTTCAATCAATTTCCTCCTGACATTGAGTCCCAGGTCCAGTCATGTATCAATAGTTTAGATAATTCATTTTTAGATATCCATGCAGAACCACAGTTGATTCCACACATCCAGCAGTCCCCTTCATCTATTCCCAGTCCTATGAATCAACCAAAGCTCCTGTCTCCATCCCAGCAGTCTCAGACATCTCCAATATTGTCCCTTCATCAAGATCCAGCCCAGCAGACACAGCACCTGCAGGTACCCCAAATACAGGTGCATCCTTCCAGCATGTCAATGCCAACTCTCCATTCTCCGCAACTGCCGCCTGTCAGTCAAGTACAGCAGCAAGGTTTGGCAGTATCACCATCACAGCAAACCTCCATCTCTCCTCAGTTAATAAGTCCTCAAGGACTACTTTTGGCACAACAACCATCTTCACGTCAGCACTCGTCAGTGCCTGGAAATTCTGAGAAAGTCTCTTCAGCCTTTGCCTCCAGTGGTTTGTGTGATGCAACTCAATATCAGGCTCCTGTCCCAGCATGTGAACGAGGAACCTCTCCAATTCATGTGGTAAGGAAGTTTTATTTTGTCTTCTTTCAATGCTTAAGGCTAGCTTGATTTTAATGTTTGTTTTCTCTGTTTCTTTGCAGGCATTAAGCACCCCAGATTCAACTACCTCCCCCCCTCAAAACGCATCTTTCAGCCCTCATTTCCGACCACTATCAGTCTCTGTTGGCTGCATGAAGTCTGGAGTAAGATCAATGGTCTCCCCCAAATTACCAGTTCTCCATTCACCAGCGTCAATCTGTGCGCCATCTCCTGCCTCTGCCATTTCAACCCAGTCACCATCTTCACTTTCGGCTCAATCTCCTGCCCTTTCGTCCTTCTCATGCCATGGAGCCCTCGATCCCATTTTAATTTCTCCACCCCTCCTACCTTTACGAAACAGAGTTTCATCTCGAATTATGTAAGAATATTATACTTAATTGAACATGAGGCACATTCTAACTAGAAAGAAACTAACTGTGAATTTTTATCATGCGTTTGATTCTAGGATTGAACAACAAATGAAAGAAGACCAAGAAAGTGCGAGGTTACCTGATGCTCACTCTCCATTCACAAACAAGAGTGATGCGGTTCAACGTTTAATGGCATACCATGTATTCAATGAAAAGCTTCTTAGTCAGCAAGACCTTGAAAAAGCAGATGAAATTCATGAGCATACTGCCCAACACCTTCTGGATAAGTTTTCAAATATAACAAACAAATTTCGTAGTTTAATGCTTGCTGAGAGTATGGTGAGTATCTATCTATCATTTTTCACTTATGATCACTGGAAAACTTTGATACTAATACAATTTTTTTTTTACATCGCAGAGAGAAGTGAGACTGGCAGAAGTCGTCATGATTGATAGGTTGCGGAATGCCGAAGAAGAAATGTTGACAAAAGCTGCCAAGCAGGCTAAGGAAGATGAAGAAGCTGCTGTGGCTTCAGAGGCAGCAGCTGCCAAAGCTGCTGCAGCCGCTGCTGAGCAAGCTGCCAAGGTGGAAGAAGCTGTCGCTGCTGAAGTGGCGGAAGCTGTTGCAACCGTTTCCGATGGTGCAGTTGTGTCTATGAACGATGTGGAGGCAGATCTATGTGGTATAAAGAATGAGCTTAGATCAGAAATATTGGATGAAATGGCAGGAGACTCCCCTAATCTTCAAGATGAGGTCCGAATTGCAAAGACAGAGGCCCTCAAATTGGAATATATTAAATGTGAGAAGTCTGGTGATGACACTGAAGAGTATAATGAGTGGGAAGCTATTAAGCAGGAGCTTGGGTATAGACCACCTGAGGTTAGTGAGGATGACAATGATGTGGCCTCAAGCAACTATGGAGAGTGGGAACTCGGTTCATTCTGTCAGGGAAAGGAGGAGGATGAAGGCCAGGATAGAATAAAAATTCAGAAAAGGTGTTCTGCTGCAGGTGTCAATGGTGAGATTGAAGACTTCCTGTGCCCCAAAAAGAAGCTCAGAATATATGATGAAATAGATGAATTAGGTGATACAGAACTGAGTGCTCAAGTTCAAAGTGCAATAGACAGCATAATAAACCTTCAGTTACCACAGTTGCCATCATCGCCAGAACTTCTCGCTTCCCTTCATGAGGATGACTCAACATCACTTAGCTACATTTCAAGCATACCTGGTCAAGGCACTCCAAATAGTCACCCTCAGAGCAATTCTCTCAACTCAAGTAGCAATCCTCACAGTATACCAAATAGTCATAACACTAGTTCTGCCTCCAATACCGATTCTGCCCTAGACGAAGCTGTGCGAAGTATTTTAACATCTTGACTTATGTTGGCCCTATTTCAGGGAAGTGGCATGACTCGTAGCTCAACCATGTCTATTTATTTAAATTTTAAATTGTTACTTAAGTATCATGACGTTACCTTGGACTCAGGCATTTTGGTATTGTTGAAGGGGCTTTATATGTTTTTCTTGCCTTTTGTGAAAGTAAAATGGCCTTTATAAGAAAGTTTTAACTCATGTAAGGGACACCATGACTCTTGTTGGTCTGGGTCCAGTCATAAATTAATTGTTATCCCAATTTTTGAAACCTTGTTAAGATAATGAATTTTGATAATGGTGCTTTGAATGCTAGGGAGATGTTCTTATTCTGGTATTTAGAAAATCATGTAGGACTCATTGAAGCTATAATCTAAATTTTGTGCTCATGTGAATCATGCAACTTTTGTTGTAGTGCAATGGAAAGGTGAGGAACAAATTCTTGAATTCTTTTATTAGTCATATAGGTATTCAGTACCTGTTTTGGAAATTTATTCATACATTTAACCTGGGATGGTTAAATTGGTTTTACTTGTTTCATGTAATTTTTGTCTTGTATAATAATGTATATTATTGTAGAGTTAATTTATACTAGTTTTAGTTATCGGAATGCAGGGATGTAATCTTTAAATGTTCAGTAATTCAATTGCTTTACAGAGATCATGTCCAATCATGAGGCCACCTACAGTACATCATTTAGTTTGCCCCAGTTTCTTTCCCTTTTTTTCTACTTAAAAAAAAAGTAGTCAAACTTTTTAAGATACACATTTTATCTTGTTGTATTTTGTCTTAACAGTCACATCACCATCCGTACTTGTCACTCTATCTTACTTAGTGTGATTTATGTAACCAATTGTTTTATTGGTACCCCAGTTGGGACAAGCCCTATGTGATTCTAAACTGTGTTCTGTTCTTCTTCATGGATTAATTCGTACTCACACAGTGGTTTTGTGAGTATTTTCTGTTTCATGTGTCCCATTTCTTTAAAATGTTGCTTTAAAAAAAAAAGTACCCCATTTTGATTTGTGTTAAAAGAATGCTCCTATGATGTTTCTTTTACTTTTTTTTTTTCGGGGGCAACATTTGGATTTGCAGACTTTTTAAAATACTATTGTATGAGCTGGTTGATAGTTTTATTCACATACATATTTTGTAATTGTCCTCTGCAATAAGTTTTACAGTTGCAGTTTCTACACCGCTAGGATGGTTTTTACCTTAGTCATCAGGGGGATTAAGGTGCTGAATTTTCAAATACTGTACCCTCTCCTTAAATTTTACTCACAGCACATTTTAATTTGCATTTAGGCGTTCTGAGGTTGTTTTCTCTCCCTTGAAAACAAATTTTTGGCTAGTCTTATGCCCTCTTGTACTTCTGTTTGTTGTAAGCATTTACAGCTTGCGTAAACCCTTTACCTTTTATTATTATAATGGTGGTAATTTGTTTTTATTTCATCCTGATTTGGAATTTTATTATCTATATTTCACATACTGGACAATATTTCTTACTGATGTTGCAAATGGCCATTTTGACGAAGTTCAAATCATGTTAAGATTGTTCTCTCTTTTTATAAACCAATAGTTTTCTACAGAGGTTCTGTCATCAAAGGGAAGTTACAAAACCACTTCACTTGCTTTGAATCATTGATATTATGTATGAGTCTGTACCCTAAGTCAGAGAAAAGAATAACAACACCAAATCATTTAGTTATTACTTAGGACTGTTGAAAAATAAGGAAGTTCAGTTAATCCCACTGGTCCATCATTTTCAACTGTAATTTGCTGCAATTTGTGATAAATCATTATCTTTTCCATAAACCAGCATCTAAACTTGCCTGTTGTAACAACCGAACATGTTTTAATTTCATCCTTATTACGAATCAGTGCATCTTCAACTTGATTTATTTCCTCTCTTGAATGTGTGTTTTTCTACACAAAGCTGCTGAATCTGTTTTATGTGCTTTAGCATAATTATTGCGCTAATGTTTGTTCAGGAAATCTATTGCTCAAGACTGATTGTGCCTGTGAAGGCAGGCCATTCCTCGCACTCTTGCATAATAAATTTTCAAGACTTAATTTTATGATTTTAAGGCAGTACAGAAAACTATTGACCATACCAGACTTATACGAGATTTTAAGACAGTTAAGTTATTTTTAAATTGAATGCAATGCAAGTCTCTTGCAGGAATATAAGGTTGTGAATGTTTGTTAATGTCAGTGCTATTTAATGAGGTATGAATGTTGATATTTGGTTGCATAGTGTCAATTACCATGTTAGTGTTTGGGTTTTTTGACATAATGTACTTAAATGGGAACGAGTGCTGAACTTGAGATCTCTATTATTGTATATGTAAATTATCAAATGTGTACAAATCGTCATTTCAACAAAATGACCTAGTATTCTTTTTTAACAAATGTAAATTTGTGTAATTTTTCAAGTAAAGTATCATTGATGGTGATATTTATATTTGCCTTGTTTTTCCTTTACCCTACAACTCTTTCGTCCCAAAGCAGGCCTTGCAAAACAAGTTTCTCATTTCAAGCCAGTCTCAGGTATTCCCTAATTTTGGGGTTCTTGCAAAACCAGCCAAGTCAAATTTGCTGATACTCGAAAAATTACCGCCACACAGGCACTGTTACCACTGATGATGACCCGGAAAGAGAAGCACAAACTTAGCCCATTCCCTCCCCCTCCCCCGGATGCCGCGAGAACCTTCACCCTTCACCGGCGAGGTTACGTCGTCTGATGCGCTGGTTCTGACTGTTCGCGTGCTGACTGCATTATTCTCGTTCTTATAGTTTCTTGCAGTGTCTCCTCGCATTCTATACTTAAAGACTCTTCCAAATTCATCGTCAACCATGTTTGTTCAACGTCTCGGAAAGTCGCTACTCCAGGTAAAATCTGTTTTGATGTGTCTGTGCTGCTGATGTTCTGTCCCATCCTAAACAAGTGTGTCATGCTGACCAAATAGTCTTATTTATCGTGTAAAGTCAGCCTTTACTTGAGACATTTCAAAGAATTGATAAAGTCAAGTGTTTCGTTTTAGTTTGTAGTCAGGTTATGTATTGTAGTATGACATTTTCTGTCTTTTTGAAATCCCTCTGGCTCTCATTCACTATTAGTAGTTAAAAGGATTGGAAGTTCTTAAGTTAGGTCTTATGAAGAGTTTGCTACTTGCAGTATGACAGCAATACTTAAATGACAATTTGTGTGCAATTTTGTTGTCAGCGAGTACCTGCAGTTGTATCACGGCCACTGTCTACCACCCGTAAGTAATGTTGTTCGTTTGACCTGACAGTCTGTTCTAATTCATGTTATTAATGTTTCTTTTCCTTTGTACGGAAGACCTTCTTCAGTCACCCAAAATACCAGCTCCTGCTCCAGATTTTAAGGGGATTTCAGTGTTTCAAAATGAATTTAAAGAAGTCTCTTTGAATGATTTCCGAGGAAAGTACTTGGTCTTATTTTTTTACCCACTTGACTTGTAAGTTAACAATCCTTCTTATGTAAATAATAATTGTATGATAAACGTGTTGAGTGTATCCTATATTCCGTTTCATTAACAGCACATTTGTGTGTCCGACTGAGCTCATTGCGTTCAGTGATCGCATCAAAGAGTTTGATGCGATCAATTGTGCTCTTGTTGGCTGCTCCTGTGATTCACACTTCAGTCACTTGGCATTTATCCAACGATCTCGTAAGGTGAGTAAAAATTCCTGAACTGAATTTAAATGTTCTTATTCCCTATTTATAAATTTCTATAAATAATATTTACAGGAAGGTGGTTTGGGAGGATTGAACTATCCTCTCCTTTCTGACTACAAGAAAGAAATAGCAAGGAAATATGATGTTCTGTTAGAAGAAGAAGGTGTTCCACTCAGAGGATTGTTTATCATTGACAAGGAAGGAACTTTACGTCAAAAGACGGTAAATGATTTACCTGTTGGCCGAAGTGTTGATGAGGTACTCAGACTTGTCAAGGCTTTCCAGTTTGTTGAGGAGCATGGTGAAGGTAATACTTAGTCCCATAGAAATCATTACACATATTCACAGAGGGGAAAATTTTTCACCAGTTTTCACCTTTTTTTTTATCTGTTTCAGTTTGTCCCGCTAATTGGCAACCAGGTAGCAAGACAATCAAGGCAGATCCTAAGGGATCTCAGGCATATTTTGAGACAGCGAATTAGTTCATCTTGCATAGAAAACGGTACCTATGTTACGAAAAATTATTACACAATGGATTCTCTTCACAAATAACTTTGTGAATGTTAAAGTTTGTGCAGTAGGTTTTGCATTTAAGGAGGGTTACAGCATGAATCGGTATGTTGAAACTTTGAAGTTTGAATTTACTGTTTAAAGTTATTTTTTACTGCATCAATGAGGAATAATATTGATAAATAATAATAGTAATCTTACATCTATTATTTTTCTTTTTTGAACCTTTTGTTTCTAATTAGTACTAATGCACCCTGCATACCCCTGAAGGGGCTTATGATTAAATTGCTCTTGGACCATATTAGAGTGCCAGCCACTGTTGAATTTGTATCAACAGAGCATAATTTATCATTCCTATCAACTGGGCCACCTTTTGAATATTTCCACACCAACACAGTCCCATTTGAAGTTAAAGCAGCAATTTGTGTCTTCTTTGGGTGCCACTGTAATCCTGAAGACAGAATGAATTTAAATAACAATCATCAATCAGGTGCAAAGACATGATGATAAAAAAAAAAATAAACTCTTACGTACCTGTAAAAGAAGATAAGGTATTGAGCACCTTGCAGAGCTCAAAACCTTTTCTTAGGTCCCAAATTAATATGTGATTATCCATCAAGGCTGATGCCAACAAATTTCCACAATGGCTAAAACCAAGTTGGCTGACAACTGGAAAATTTGAACTTATCAGTAACAGAATCAATCCAAGTTGATTTTATTTTCAAAATTAAAAATAAATTGCAGTATGAATGAAGTCAGAAAACATATCGAGAACCTCACCTTTTCTAGATGGTCTGTGTACTCTTCCTGGGTTACTGTGCTGCTCCAGTCCATGATTTAAAACAGCACACAATTGCCATGTGACAAGGTTGTAAACAAGAACTAAGTTAGTCTGTACAGGCAAGGCAAAATATTTTAAATGCCACATGATTTCAAAGCTAGTTCAAAGTAGGAGTAGAAGTTGTTGCACCTCATTTTGAAGACACGTTGCTACAAATAAATCCTTATTAGGGGAAAAAATGCCGAGCAAAAAGCCTGAACACCGAAAGTTATCATAGAAAAGCTGCTTTATGTGTTCTCCATCAAAACATAAAAAGGAGACTTTTTTGTAAGAATTCCATATGGCAAGCATCAATGAATTTGAAGACCACTCCAACCCTTGTACACTTCGAAAACCACACTTTCTGTTCTAAATTTAAAACACAAATTAAAGAAATAAAAGATGGAAAATGAAAACAGACAGCATATGAATCTCACCCATAGCACATTCCATGATGAAGTCGACAATAGATTAACATAATAATCAGAACTGTTCAAGGTAACAGAAGCTGCATATTTTCCATTATGATTAAATGCTATTAATGGCCTGTAGTCGTCATCACAGCAAATGCTTGGTAATATTATTCTTCTACCATCTTGGGACGAGTGAGCAAATGTAAAAATCTAGAAAATGTACATGATGTGAAATTTCGATGTCTTCATATTTTAATTGATCTTTTGAAGAAGTCAAAAACTTACATTGAAAGTGGAGATTGAAATTATATGTTTACTATCTGGAACCCAACAAACTGATGCCAAGTTTACTATTTTTGGATCTTGCACTCTGAATATTATCTCGGCATTGAGGCAATTCACAACTGTGAAATGACAATCTCGTAAGGAAACTAAGAGAAGGGCACAACAGTCTGGGGACCATTTTAAATCCTGAAGCAGTTCAAAAGAAATGGAGAAAGTTAATGAAGGTACATGTTATACTTTAAAAACTAACGATCACTCAAACTTTACATGCCTCTATTTCAAAATCAGAATGATAATTCAGAATCTCCTTGTAGATCAGTGTTGAGTAATCTATTTGAAGAATTTTAAGTGATTTCCCATCTAGAAAGACAAGTCCGACTAGAGAGGTGCAAGGAGAAATTTTAATGTAAGTCACTTCTTCGATTTCATTTAAGGGCCAGATTTTGTACTTTGTTGTGTTCAAAGGACAAAGAGCCATCTTATAACGAGGGCCTCAGAAAGGTTGTAAAGGTAGATAGGATGGTCTCAGATCGATCCAACCAGAACACCCATCTTGCACTGATCAGAAAATAATAAATAACCCTTCAAGTTTTCAAAAACATATCACTTGGGCGCTTTGGACTACCTGAAAATAATCATTAGTATTATTGGCAGTCAGAAATCGTTATTAGCAGAATGATCTACCGCCCCTCCCCCTATCCCCCACCCCATCCGTTCCCACTTCCCCTTCTCCCCTCCTCCTCCCCCCACCTCTCCCCTGCGTTAATCGGGTCCACAGACTGTTTTTGTAAAAGTTGTCCGGTGATCCTGCCCACATGGCATTCTCTGTATGTAAGTATTTGAAATGTATTTCGTCGTAGTCTTGTCCTCTCTGTTCCCAAAATCATGTTATAGACTTGTCTTTTGGGGATTTTAGAAACCCCGAGGCCGCTTACTCATCATTTACCAGTGATGCCAAATTTTCTCTTTCGGTCGACGAGAATTTTGCAATGCTTGTTGTTGTCTTTGATTGTTTGTTCGGAGATTGAACCATCTAGAGCCCCCTGCATTCTGGTTGCGAATCGGCACCCTCCTGTTTTTCCTTTCAACGTACTAACGCGATTAATCCCGTGAACAGTACCCTCTCAGCCTCAGTCCTAGTCTCAGCAGACGGACGGCAGTGGACGGCAGACGCTCGTTCGTTCGTCACTGACACTTTTGGTGAGGTGAGGGCGAAACCGGGACACGGCGTCCTAGTCAGGATTAGTCATTGCAAACTCTGCGGGTCTTTCTGTCGGGCTGGTGGGTAATGATGATTTGCAGCTAACCCGTTTAATAAGAGTTTCTGTTTTATCACGAATGTCAGAACCATTTTAATCTGCCTTGTCTGCAGCCATTGGTGATGAACTGTTCATCTCCCATTACCTGTTGATTAATTGATGTGTGTTGCCTTTGCACCCAACTCAGTTTGCTCTCTCTTCCATTTCACTGTAACTTACTTCTTTCTAGAATCAATTGTTGCTGTGTTATCTGACTCTCTCTCTCCTGACAAGAATTATATATTCAGCATTGTCATAGCCCTTGTCTATTTTTTGTCTTTTTCACGATTACCAAGGCTTTTATCCGGATTTGTTACGTCTTCATCATAAGTTCTTAACTCTTTAACAAGAATATTTGTCACATTTCGTGTGCCTTTGGCTCTGTTATCAGTTTGCGGTGTAAACTTAAATAAAATGTCCTTCTACTAGATGAAGGTTAACAGTATAAACATCTTAAAAAAGTGTTTTGACTTGCTTATTTTGCACCATTTGCCTTTCTTATTAGTTAAATGGTTAATCACTGTCAGTTGATTCTTTCTCAGCAGTAATCTCTCGCTCTTCTCTCATTTTAATCGTGTTGATTAGGTTACATTTTCAGCTGTTTTCCCTTTAAATATTTCTAACAATTATGCAATGTTCCACAGGAGCTAACACAACATTAATCTAAAATGGAATTCTACATGATAGAAAAGTTTAAGTGCTTGCTCAAAGATGGACGTTGGCCAGTAAGCGCTCAAGGTGCGTCTTCATTACATGATTTTATTTAATCAGCAACAATTCGTCTCACCATTTGTTTGTTCAATTTACTTTTAGGTGTCCTTATCTCCTTGGATGACAGTGAGGATTCTTTTGACTCTGCTGCAGAGGAGGATGATGAAGAGTTCTTAAATGGTATTTTTTGTGGCCATTCTCATAAGCAGAATTTTCGCAGACATGACTGCCCTCAAACACACATCAAGCAAAGTAAGTCAGATATTATTTTACTACATGCAAGTTCCAAAAGTTGTTTTGCCTTTAAGTGAAACCGTCTATTTTACCTTGCAGTTTTAATGAAAGAAATGCATGCAGAAAAAAATGCAGCAGAACTCCTTCATGAAGAAAAGGAGGAAAAACTCAAATTAGAGCGCCAAAAAGAACGAAAGCGTAAAAAGAAGGAAAGGAGAAAGGCCGAAAAAGAAGCTAATGAAGGGTGCAATTCTAATAATATTAGTGGTCATAAAAATTCACAATTTAATAATAACAAAGAAGGAGTTAAAAATAATGAAAAGTCCAGAAGAGATAAAAATAGTTTGTCTGATTGTGAAAAGAGTGATGCAGATGAAGACACAGAAGAATTTCTTGATGTCAATTCTGCCTTTGTTACCAAAGTTGTTCAACATAAGCTAAGAAATAATACCAATAATGCAGGTCCTACCAAGAGTAATTCGCCCGTCAATACTAGTAAAGGGCATGGAACTCCTATTAAGCAAACGTCCAATGGTACTAGACTAGTTCCAATACCAGAAAAAAATATTCTTCTTGGCGAACGTCTTGCAGTTGCTGGATACCAATGCGCTAGTAAAGAAAAGTATGATCAAGCTATTGAGCTCTTTACTCGTGCCCTGCGGAATGTACCTAATGACCATCGATATTGGGGAAATCGTAGCTTCTGTTATTTCCAAATTGGAGCATATCAAAAGTAATGATATTTTCAAAATTATTAATCTTGTATTTGCTTTTGATTTTTGTGAAACTATTAATGCAACAAAATCATTCAACTTTCTGTGCTTCCTTTTTAGGGCATTGGAAGATGCTGACTGTGCAATTCAATTAGCACCCACTAGTCCAAAGGGCCACTATCGAAGAGCAGAAGCTCTTGCAGGGTTGAAAGTTCGTGTCTCTCTTGTTTTAATTAGTTATTCTATTATCTACTTCTTTTACTCACTTTTGCTTTCCTTACCAGAATCTTGTTGCTGCTGAAAAATCTTTTGAAAAAGTCTTAGAGCTGGATGTTGAGTGTAAAGATGCTTGTGATGAATTATTAAACATTCGCATGCTGCGTATATCCGAAATGGGTTTTGATAAAAAACAAGCATATCGTGCCCTTAAAAAATATTCGAGTTTAGAGGTTAGTACTTTCTATACAGGCCTCTTGCTCACGCTTCTCCTAAGACATGTAACTCTGTTTTCATTTTGTGTTTCAGGGAGCTGTAGAGGCATTGATGAGTAACGAAAATTTTGAAGTAGAATCCGATGAAGACGAAAATTTAATATATCAATCTGATGAAGAAATAAATTGGGATAATGTGGGTGTATTGGAGGGATATGTTGATGGCCATGAAGATCCATATCCCAATGCTCAGAACATTAAATTTCAAAGTCAAAGTTTTTCTGATCAACCTATGGAAGCTGATAGCTATGAAAATTATTTAGATAGTGATGCGAACAAAATGTCGAAAAAGCAAGCAGCAATGGAGTTAGTAGCATTGCCTTCAATTGTAGTTGCTACCAAAATTTATTTTACATTGTTCAAGAGAAATGGATGTAATTATACCTTTACTAAAGATCCTTTTTTCTTTTCTTTTTACAGTCCGTCAAATCCGCATCGATGTGTGTCAATTTGGGTGGGAAATATTGAAGAATGTGTGTCTGAGAAGACAATCAATGAAGAGTTTTCAAGGTTGGTTGTGCCCCTCTCCCTCTTTTTTTTTTTTCTCTCGCCCATTCCATATTATTACAATAAAATTGAAACTAGACAACTTATCCTTTTGAATTTCTCAGGTTCGGAGAAATTCTCAGTATAAAAATGTTACCATCAAGCCATTGTGCATTTATTAACTTCAAAGATAGCAGAGCACCAGGGCCTGCCATGGCTGCTATGCAAGGCAAAGACTTTGCTGGGAAAAAACTAATAATTCGCTATCCCAACAAGACCAAAGAGGAACAGCACATCCATCAACAGATGTTATGTCATCAAAAGCGTTGGAATTCCAACCTTAGTGAACCGGATTCAGAATATGCTGGAGCTGATAATGCTGCTCGCACGGGCTCGGGTGCCGGCCCTAGCCCAGGGGCCGCTCCTGTTGCTGGTGCTGGTTTTGGCTTTGGTGCCACTGCCAGTGCAGGGGCTGGGGCTGGGGCTGGGGCTGGATCCGGAATTGGAGCTAGGGTTTCAGGAGGACTCATCTCTCAGCCGCCACCATCTAAATCAACTCTAGTACCTTCCACTAAAGGGTCGGTTTCTGATCTTCTTTTCTTACAATTTTGATCTGTTGTTGCTAGACTTTACTGTTCTGAACCTCATTATTTTCCATTTTCAGGACTCGTATCAAGCTGAAAGGTCCAGTCAATGGGGATGAGTGCTACTATTGGCGTACAACAGGGTGCGCCTTTGGTGATAAATGCCGTAATAAGCATATAAAAGAAAACCGCGGTGTTGACCGCAAACCATGGCACAAGTAGTTAATAAACTATTAAATTCATCAGTTTTGCTGTAATTTGTTTATAATCAAGAAGAAGTCTGGTTTTGTTTTCTTCTGTTGTCCCCTGTGTGCTTATCACAATTCAATCTTGTTTGATCTAATCTTAAAAGTAGGTGCTGTGGTACCCATTAATAGTGAATTTGTAGCAGTTCATAAGGGATCATAAATTTGCATCTTTTAGTGCAAAATTTAACGTTTTTGTCAACATATCCTGTACGGTGAACTTGAGAAATGTGAATGGTATGTTGTTGCATCCTTGTAAGGCTGTTGAAAGCTTGAAAAAGACCAAGGAAATACTGCAATCCTTTGGGCTGGAACTCAGGACCATATTTTTTGGAAGGTAGTGTCGTAAAAGTATGAAATTTCCTCAAATTGTCTGTTTCTTTTTGGAGACTGATTGATTTATAGAGCTTTTTGAAATTTATTGGTTGAATTTGTATATTCAGCCTTGTATTGATACTGCTCATCATCGGTGTACTTATAAAGTGCTGCCACATGCCAACATGCTCCTCCAAAAGTTGTATTTGTTTGAAAAGCATGGTATGCTGGGATCTTTGTGGTTATTGTCAAGCGCTGGTTTGAATATTTTAGTTCACTAGTGTGCATTATTCTTTGCAGTGAAGATTAAAACTTATTCTCATGCGCATCTCATGTTCAATTTTAAGTAAACCAACATCACCTTTCAGGTTTATTTTAATAATGTTCCTAGCTTCTATCAGTGTTGAACTTGTTTGTGTATGTTTATTTGCAATCAGATGTTTTATCTAATCAATACTTACTACCTACATTGTCAGTCAGTAATAGATTATAGGAAACTTATTTTTGATAAATTTCTGAACATTTGTCCTGTTTCAAACTGGTCTTGTGCTCAATTGTTGTGGAGCGCGTATTGTCTCAATCTGGTCTGTGATATTTTGTTTTGTTCTGTTTTGTTCTTCACTTGCTCAGTAAGCTAATAAGAGCCAATGAGTTGTCTGTCACTTAGCACCTTACTATGATCCCTTGCATTTAGTACCTTTGTCCAGCAGGTATTGGAATAAAAATAACAATGTTTTCATGGGTTTTTACTATTTTACAGAGTTACAATTTGTATCCCACCCCCTTAATATCTGTTTATGAAAGCACTACTCAAGTATGTGATCATTATTTATTCTAAATTTTATTGATTTAAATTTTGTATTTTGGAAACAAGTTTAATTTTTGTGATAGGCTTGTACCATGGGAATTCAAGACTAATTAACTTATATGAGCTCACTTGTACTGAAATATCCTTGGTGTGAAACATAATTATTGTTGTTGTGTTCATGATGCAGATGCGTCCATGATGCATCAGTATTTTCTTGTCAGTTGTCTGCAGACAAAAAATTCTAAATCTGTTTTAAAAACAGAAAGGGCAAGTTTCACTGTCAATTTTGGATTATTAGTGCTCTTTAACTTTAATCCCTGAATCACCTTCTCTGGGTTGGCCATGTGCATGTGGATTGAACTTAATTTATGTTTGGTCAAGGGTACATGTGCTTTGATTACTAATATGTGTGGTACCTCTTAATTGTTCATTCTCAATTGTTATCAATCCTGTTACATTTTCTTCATCTTCGACAGATGTCATTGTTGTTTCTTGTAAAACAGGAGGGAAGGAAGAAATGTGTGAACAAAGACTACTCCCATGTCTATTTGAATAAAACCGTTGTTTTACCTCATCAATCATCTATGTATGTGAATTTACTTGTAACTTGTCACTTAATCAGAAATGACTGTGGCTGTATGTACAAGCCGGAAGGACGAGACATTAACAGTGGATGACCCACTGACCTTTCCAGCCTTTCCCAGGGCTACGGCCCCCTTCCAAGTCCCTGACGGGCCCTGCGCTGGGCCGGGCTAGGCCGGGCCGCGCCCTCCCCAGTACAGTATCACCATTACTAGACCCACCGGACGGCGGCGGAGGCGGACGGCGGACCCCACCTGTCGGCCGTGCCCTTCCTGCCCCTCCCTGTATGGATTTTCGGGGCGGGTCCCTTTGTCCACTCCTTGGAGTCTTCGGGCGATAAGACAGGTGAAGCCTCCACCAAGCAAAACTCGCAAAGTTGTAGGGCGGTCGGTACGAGTCCGAGTGCCATCGTGAAGCGGCGCGTAGGGAACGACATCATTTTGAAATTTGCACAGAAGCGCGCGCTGACGCATCTGAAGGAAGGCGGTGGGTTGTCTAGTGTGTCTAAATGTTATTTTGTTTAGTGTCCCTCGCGTGACGTTGTTTGACGTTATCAATCAATTTTCTACCTCTGTGTCCGAATTTAGAGTTAAACGTATTGTCAACGGTTGATCTATTTGGTGGGACGTGTTAATAAGTCGTCTTCTGTGCGCGGGTGACACGAACCGTCTGTCATTTCAGGTTGTGAGATGTGTGTCATGTCCCGAAGGGTCTGAACGTCAATCTATCAAGGTGAAAGGTTGCTTCACGTTTCAACCATGTCTACTCCGACAACACCGGCCACTCCCGACAGCCTCTCCAAATCTAAGAGGCCATCTGGTAAGGGCATTTGTCGTACAATTTTACCCTATTTTGCCTTGAGGTTAGGTGCCAGAGCCATCTCCATTTGAACTGGGGACAGCCTGTCCATGTTCCATGATGAGTCACTTCAATAAATTCTTAATTTTACTTTGAGTTACCTTCCCCCCCCCCCCTTGTATGTTTTGCCACGTGAAAATCTAATTCCTTTACACACTACCTTTTGACTTAGGGCATTTCGTTCCTTTGCTTCTGGCATATGTTGTCTTTGGATTAACGTTTCTCATTTCATATTTGTCATTACGGCCTTTCAAACGCTGGTAGTGTTAAAAAATAATTCTTATCGTGTTGTTCAAATGAGCACTCCTCATATATCAACCTAGATGTCATACACATGCTCTGTATGGCATGCAATTCAACATGTTTTTGTGCTGCAACTATTTTTTACATTGGTAATTTACTTTGCAGATAGCGCATTCAAGCAGCAGAGGCTTCCAGCATGGCAACCCATTCTGACTGCAGGCACTGTTCTACCTACATTCTTTGTGATTGGAATTGCCTTCATCCCTGTGGGTGTTGTTCTGCTGTACTTCTCAGACAAGGTAGATTGAATCGATCCACTTTTTCAAACTTGAAAATGATTTACTGCGTTTGTATTGAGACCACATTTTCATTATTTTTTGTTTCTCAGGTTCAAGAAATCACCAAAGACTACACTGACTGCAACAGCACAACTGTACTCAATAAAAGATGCTCAGAATTGTTACAAGAGAAGCTACCTTGCTCATGTCAAATAAAGTTTGAACTTGAGCAAGACTATGAGGTAATTTATAAAACATTGTGGTCTCTGTAAAGAATCTATCTTCCCAGTCTAAATAACTATTATCTTGCTATTAAACATTTTCTTTTTTTTTTTAATTTTTTTTTTTAGGGTAAAGTCTACATGTATTATGGCCTGACAAACTTCTACCAAAACCATCGTCGATATGTCAAGTCCCGAGATGACAACCAGCTGCTGGGAAGACTCAGTAAAACTGTGGCATATGATTGCATCCCATTTAACATTAACAATAATAACTCTGCAGACCCTAAACCTATTGCTCCTTGTGGAGCTATTGCAAATTCTCTCTTTAGTGGTAAGTAAGAAGTCTTGATGCTTACATTTTAAATGAAAAGCATTGCCATTCCTTGCGAAAACACCCTTTGTTTCATTTATTTTTATTTAACAGACGAGTTAAGTATCCGCAAGGAAGATGGACCAAATCCAGGGCCGGTTCCTCTTCTGAAAACTGGCATTGCTTGGAGCTCTGACAAGAAAAATAAGTTCCGTAATCCTGAATTAGATCCTTCAAAACCTAAGCAGGAGGCACTTAAAGAAGGTATAAATTTGGGATTCAATTTAAATGATACATGCAAATGTTGATTTTATCTATTTTGATCGTAATTAATTCCTGTTGTCTGTTACAGCATTTAAGGGTTTTGCTAGACCTACCCTGTGGAAGAAGGACGTTTGGGACCTTGACAAGGATGACCCTGAAAACAATGGCTTTCAGAATGAAGATTTAATTGTTTGGATGCGCACTGCAGCCTTGCCCACATTCCGCAAGCTCTACCGCCGTGTAGACCACAGTCAAGAAGCGTTCAAGGATGGATTGCCCAAAGGAAACTACACTCTTGATATAGTCTACAGTAAGTAGTTCAATATTGTCCTGTCAATATGGCCCTCCTTGTTGTCCCTGTTGACTACAGCTTCTCTTCCTGTGTTGCAGACTATCAAGTGACTTCATTTGATGGGAGAAAACGAATGATACTTTCCACTATATCCCCTCTGGGAGGGAAAAATCCATTTTTGGGAATTGCATACATTGTTGTTGGCTGCATCTGTCTCTTGCTTGGCATCATATTTCTGTTCATCCATATCAAGTGTGGTAAAAGGTAAGGGCCGATGTGGTTTTATTATCCTTTTTTTTTGTGAGCTTGTTGTTTATTGATTCTTTTTTCTGGGTGCTCTAATGGCTCTCTTTCTTACATTTCAGCACTGCCGATGTGATAAACGTGAACCCTAGGACTCCTTATTGATGGATATGAAGTTGTCTTTTCATTCATGTTCCGTCAAATTGACAAACCAGAAAACAAAAGGGAGAATTTAATTGCATTGTTTCTTGACAAATTATGTTGAAACAGTTTACATGTTGTACTTAACCTAATATAATTCATTTCTGTCCTGACCTTGGTGAGCACAAATCGAAGCTTTTGAAACAGCTTTGTTGCTTATTTATAGTGTCTTCGTACGATTAACGATTACTGTGATTTGACTGCTATTAAAGTGCACTTTCGTTGAGAGGCTCAGCTTTTGTTGAGAAATGAAACAACCTTCATATTTTTTGATTTAAGTCTCTTTGTCTGTGTTTTGTCAACCTAGTCATTGTGTAGTCTTGTTCAGACACATGTTTCATTGTGATTCTTTGCAAATCAGATTTTCTAAGATGTTTAATAGGGACATTCAGAGCAGTTTCTTATCTTATGATATGTTATGATGTGATCTTGCAGTGATAAGATAGTGTCGGTCCGCTTAACTAAAGTTGCAGTTAAAACTTTCAAAAATAAATTAACAGTGTTACTGGAAGTGCACTTCTCTTTCCAATATGTATTGTGAATATAACTTACTGCCAAGGAACATGAACATACTTTTTCTAAGGTTTGTGTGCAATTCCTTAAAATGCAGTGAGCTTCTAAATAAGAAAACATATTTTTAAAGTCCCTATATTTTCCATGTTAGATCTCACTTCTATTGTGTCTATCACATGTGTATTTCTTTCAGCTTTTGCGGGATTAACAAATTGTTGGGGGAGGGGTGGGAGGGAAGTTCTAGACAAGTATCTTTTTTTATTTTTCTTACAGAGGTCATTAATGTTGTGGCTTGTAAAATCAGAGTTTCTATTTGCAGATATTACTGTGTGTCGCTATAGTATTGCATATTTTATTGTCTATTGTTGAGCTAAGTTATTCATTTTGCTAGTTACCTATATTTGTTATAGTCCCTATCAGACTGTGTGGAAAGGTGGAACAATTTTATCTCTGCACAGTCCTTGGATTGATCGTTTTTTTTTTTAAATAGTATGGCTTAATAAAGAGTTTCTGAAAGTTGGCAGATTTTGATCTTTCTATTTTAAGTCCCTTGGATCCATTACGACCCCATAGTAAACACTTCATAGTAAAACACTTCACCTTACAGGGATCTTAGGGTTCAAGCACTTAGACTAACATGATAAGGTAGTAAGGTGCAAAAATAGGAGCTGAGTGTTCGTAGCATGACTCTTGAGCATAAATACATTAATGCTATGTGCAATGCTGTGATGAAAAAGTGAAAGATTTGCATGGCAAGTAGATAAATTTTATTGATGCATTCGGTACACTATAATCTTGCTTATTCACACATACCGAAGCTGGCATAATTAAATACTGACTTATAGTTTGCTCTGTTCATCACATATGTTCTGAAAGTTTTTCATTTTTTTCATTCCTATAGCGATTAATTAGAACAATAAAGTGAGTCTCAGAGGGAAGTAACCCTGATTTATCAAGACAAAAATACAAAATAGGTACTGAATTTGCAAGGCTTAGCCTATACTTTTACAATATACAACTAGACCCTAGCTTTTCATGACAGGGCAAATTTTTCTCCTGTTCCAATCTGAATCCCAACGCAAGAAAGATTTTATTGTTTAAATACTAGTATTACAGAAAGCTCTCTCCATAGAATTAGAAACTTGTTATTGCATCTGAAAACTACATGACTAGAAATAATGCTTTAACTTTCATTTCTTTGTGTTTGTAATCACAAACTTTCATAAATTTCCTAAAAGTCTTATACACAATTATGTGTTACATATCATTTCTTAAAAGTACCACAAAAATAAAACAGATGAGGTAAAGTGTTCTAAAGTCTATTGCATACCATCTGAGAGACAAACAATATTTAACTTAGCTTGCCACAATAGGGTTTTGTAATAATATAAAATAGTTTCTCGCTTACATTGAGAAATTCAACACAAAAACTAAAGGATTAAAAAAAAACAGACATCACAAATCTACACATAAACTTCACCTTAATGTTGAATAAGCCAATAAAGGAATCAATAAATAATATTTTTGGAATTTCATTCCAAAAATGAAAAAAAAAGAAGAAAAAACAGGATGCTGTCTACACAAAACAAGGGTGAGCTTCGGCTCCTCCCACACACATGGAGCACATCAACAACACATCACAGACTCAGTTACGTTTATGATGGGGATGAGGAAACTGATATCTAATTAAACATGAGCAGTTATCTTCAAAGAATCACTGACACTTGAGCAAACTCTATCAGAAAACATCAAACAATCATCCTACACATTTGACTAAATGTCAGAAACCTGTAAGATTACTATCTAATTTTTCTGATATAATCTACAAAAGTGGAAATCTTTAAATTAGATTTACAATTTTTATTGCTGTGAAAACACACCCATCAATAATGATTGGCATAAACAGAAAGACAACACCCAACTAAGCTTGCTTCAAAAGTGGTTCAGGACCGGAAAAAAATCGCTAAAAAAGGAACAGTCTTTACAATGCCTACAATAGGATTGGAATTGAATTGCTTCGTGTTATGTTTTCACAGCCCCTCATGAAGCCTCATCATAACATTTATACTTTCTCTTTCACAGCACAAAGAAAAACTTACAAGCTCACCATTCACCTTCCACATTTCTTAACTTTATACACTGGTCTATCCTAGTCAAGTTTCCTCAATAGAGGAGAGTGTTTGCACTCAAAACTTTGACTGTTTGGTATATATTCCCATGTAGTTTAACAATATTTCCACAGCCTTCATCTTTCTGTTAAGATAAGAACACCGTTTCTCTTATTTTGTGCTAGTTAAATTTGCCACACATCAAACAAACCATTCAGTTAAAGCACCAATTAAAATGCCTTAAAGTGGGCAATCAAACCCCAATATATCAAAATTTTCAGTAACTTGAAAATTTTTTTAACTGTACGGAGTGACTATTACATACTACTTCATTGTCAAAACAATGTTGACATGATCCCATGTTTAAAAACAGGACTTGACAGTTCTTTGCTTTCATTCAATACATTAAGTATCACACAAGTTTAGAAACCCATACGCAGAGGATGCGTGGAACTGACACCTCCACCATCCCATCCTTCCTTCTGGCCCAAGCAAGAACTGAGGTGTGGCTTGCAACTGCCCACCATCGTCCAACTAAAGTAACTTTGGTATTCTCCACTAACCCCCATGCCGACGTTTGGACGTGCAGGCTGGACGGGGAAGGACGGGGAAGGACGCGGAAGGACGGGGAAGGTTGGGGCTGGGGAAGGCCAGGGAAGGCCCGCGGCTAGCCAGTCAGCACGCAGTACGGCGCGGTGACTCTGTCTCCACCCATCCGTGCAGGCCGTGCAGGCCGTGCAGGCGCACTGTCCTGGCAGTCCTGGGGGGCAAGACGACGCCGAAGCCGAGGCGGTGTCAAGACGACCAAGCGTCCAGCTGGGGCGGCGCCTGAGGCTCCGGATGCTGATGGGGATGGGGGTGGGGGTTGGGGTGAGGGTGAGGGTGAGGATGGGGGTTGGGGTGGGGGTGAGAGTGCCGCGGAGTCCGCAGCCGTTGGGCAAGATGGTCCAGGGTCTTGTCGATGGCCCGCAGCCGCTTCTCCACGCTGGTCGTGCTCAAGATGCCCACCTGCAAGGCAATGGAAAGGGACCGTGAGGGAAGTCCGTGCACTGCCAGGTGGTGCGAACTGCACTGCGAATGGGACTGCACTTGGAGTGACGCGCTACGCGCTACGCACCTGCAGCTGGGGGCCGAGCGGCAGCACAGCCAGGAGGTACCACGTCCAGGCGGGGCCGTCGCTGCTGTTCTCCCAGCGGTCCTCCACCGACGGCATCACCCCGAAGGAGCGCTCGATCTCGGCGCGCACCTCCTTGCCCATGGACGACAGCCAGAGCTCGCTCTTGGCGCGGACCAGCGCGTGGAGCTGGCGGACGCCTGCGCACACGGAGAGAGAGTTGCTTGTCAAAACTTTAGCGCGCGGGGTCTGGGGTCGCAATCGCCACCCCAGACGCCTGACGGTCCGAGCGAGATGAAACGAGAGTCTTACCGGGCAGCCTCTCGGGGGCCGTGGGCTCGTCGTGCAGAAGCTGCACGTTGGCCACGTCGTAGCCGTCGCGCTCGCCGCGCTGCAGCACCCGAAAGCGGCGTGAGCCCTGCGTGCTCAGGATGGACGAGCCGTCGCACATGCGCACCAGGTCGCACACCTCCAGCAGCGTGCCGAACTCCGCGTACCTGCGGAGAACAAGAGGTCAGTACGGCGCCAGCGGCGCCCAGAACTTACCGAAGGCTTTACCACGCTACGACGCACGGTGGGCCAGAGGACCGGTGGAATCGGCCTAAATTCTAGACATGTTTGGAGCTCCAGAGTCGTTAAACGGGACTCCAACCGAACGTGTGACCCCACCGGATAGCTCACCGAACTTGGAATCCATTGGTGGGGTCACACGTTCGGTTCGAGTCCTGTTTAGCGTGTGTGAGGCTCAAAACGCGTCCGGTGCCGTTTTTCTGGCAAATCCATTGTGCGACGCCGGGACGCCGTGCCTTGTAGAGTGCGACGACCGTTGCAAAGTAACCGAATGTCGAATGGCATGCACCAGCACGGTGACGCTGACTCACCTGTCGGGGCCGCCGCTGCGGTAGACGCAGGCCGCCATGCCGAAGGTCCTGGTGCCCGACTCGACGACGCGGCGCACCATGAGGCGGTAGCGCGGCTCGTACACGTACAGCGGGCAGGGCACGCCGGGGAAGGCCGTGGTGCACACGAACACGGGCACGGGCATGCCGAGTGAGGGCGCGGCGCCGCGGCGGGGCGACAGCGCGGCCTGCAAGGCGCTGGCCTGCAAGGCGCCGGCCTGCAAGGCGCCGGCCTGCAAGGGGCCCTGCTCCGACAGCTCCTGGGCGTGCGTGACCTGGCGCAGAGCCAGCTCGCGGGGCGCCGCCTGCCGCAGTGCCGCCTCCACCCACTCCGTGACGCTGCGGGGGCTGGCCGCCACGTACTGCAGGCAGGACAAGCAGGGGTCACGTGGCGCCGGTCGAGGGTTGCAACCAATCACTGCACTGCACTCCCACTCCACTCACCTCAGACAGCGAGGTCATGCACAGCGGGCACGAGTAGCTGTAGTCCAGGCACCGGTCCAGGCACATGCAGCAGTAGGTGTGGCCGCAGGGCGTGGTGACGGGCTTCCACAGCGTGCGGCAGCACAGCACGCAGTCCAGCTCGGAGTGGTCCACGAGCCGCGGGTCCACCGTCAGCACGTCGCCCGGCGGGTCGCGGCCGTCCAGTCCTGTGGGAAGGGAGGGAAGCGGTTCCCGTTAGCGGGGAGGGTGCAGAAGAGACCAGTGCCCTCACACCGCCAGCAACGCCACTTACTTTTGAGCTTCTCCACGTCCTGGAACACGCGGTCCAGCACGGAGTCCAGGTACGGGTCGTCGTCCGCGGGCAGGCCCGCCAGGTCCTGGAGGAGCAGGCCGTGGTGCGCGGCGTGGCTCATGCCGCTAGCCCCCCTGTCGCCGCCCCTGGACGGCCTCCTGGCGCCGCCCCTGACGGTGGCCTTGGCCGCGGAGCAGTCGTCGTCCGAAGAGTTGTCTTCGCAGTCGGAGGAGCAGGGCGGCGGCGCGCGCCACGCCATGCCCAGGCCCCGGCCGGCCGCCGCGGCGCGCTGCCCGCAGTGGCCGCCCCAGAGGCCGCTCGGCCGCGACGCGCCGCGGGGGGGCCGCTGGCCCGCCCCGCCCGCCCTGGCGGTGAGCAGGCGGTGCAGCACCCTCGTCACCTCGACGCGCACGGCGTGCGGGCCGGCACCCTGGCCGCCCGGAGGCCCGCGGTCCAGCGCGGCGCACGCACAGAACGCGCTCAGGGCCTCCTCGTAGCGGCCCAGCGCCGCCAGCGCAGCGCCCCGTCGGTAGTGGCCCTGTAACAAACAAACAGGACGCCGTCAACAACAAGCCCGCCGTGTTCACCGACTCGGGAGGACGATGGCGGCGACGCGGCTTGCGATTACGACTAGTCCGATTCGATTCGGCCGAGCCGAGGGTTCGGGCCTCGGCTTCGGCGTGCCGCCTATTTTTATCGCGCGTCGCGGCCGTTTCTTTGTTGCAGCAGAGGGTCGTGACCCCGCCCACCCTGCTAGCCTGGCTGCCCTGCTCGCCCTGCTCGCCCTGCTGCCGGAGACAAAACGGGACCAGCGGGCCGACAAGGCATGCCGCCGTGGCCGCGCTGCCGATGGTGCGCGAAGCGAACCGTCGGGCTTACATAAATAGCCCGCCGCGTCGCGCCGTGTGCGTGTGGTGTGTGTGCGTGTGCGGCCCGAGTCCATGTCGCACTGACAGCTCGAGACGGCCCGCCCGATCGACATGCCCGCGCAGCGCGCCGCGCGCCGTGCAATAGGGAAGGCGTCGTCGGCGTGCCGCGTCGCGCCGCGTCGGCCTGTTCTGTGCAATTGGGCGTCCAGTGCGCAACCAGCTGGCCGACACACTCCATTAGGTGCGCGAGGCGCCGTGGCCCGGCCCGGCTAGGCCCGGCTCGGCCCGCCTCGGCCAGCAGACTGATTCCGGGAGTCGTTCCGTCGCGGTCGTGCTGTCTCTCTCGCACGGGACGCCTCATGAGTGCGAGAGAGACAGAGCGACGAAAACGACTGTCTATCATTCTGCAGCGCGCTGCCCCGCGGAAGGATGGCCCGCAGAGTGGCCAGGACTGCCTGGCCCTGCACCGCGGCCTGGCCGATGACGGGGCGTCGGACATCGCACGCAAAGGGATAGGCCACGCCAAGGGCGGCCAGCGCGTCGGCACGGTTAGGTTGCTTGGGTTTGCCGTTTGGCGCGGGAAGGGCGGCCAGGGCGTGCTGGCCATTACGACGCCGTGGGCCCCGCAGTGGGCCCCGCAGTGGCGCGCCCAGAGAGGCAGGCCGGGCCGTTACGTCAGGAAGGCCCAGTTACACTCGAGCCCTCTATCGGATCACTGGGCAGCGGGCGGCGGGGCGGGGCAGGTCCGCGAGGCGGGATTACACTACCTACACCACGTGTGGCAGGTGGACACGGTGGACAGCGACGCGAGCAGCGCCACGCGCCGCCGTCTCATTTTATTTGGTATAATTAGGAGGCCCGGCTCGGGCGAGTTGTTTCGCGAGGGCAGGGAGGCCGACCGGGCGGCCGGCCGCGTCAGGTTTTCGGTGAGTGATGGAGCACGGGCAGGTCGCGGCGTCGCGGCGTCACGGCCACGAGCGCCTCCTTCGCGCCAAAGGCAGAACCGGGCATGACCGGACGAAACTGACGAGCGTCGCGTCAGCTCCGAAATCGGGATCGGGCCCTCCACTTTCGGTTGCGTGGCGGCGTGGCGGCGTGGCGGCTCACATGCAAATGCGAATCGCCGCCAAGGTGGCGGAGCGCGGAGCTCGCCGAACTCTGCGGTCACGCCGTGTCCCGGCACTGCCGCCACCGCCCGGCACCCGGCAGCGGCCGGCCGGCAGGGTTAGGTAACGAAACTGAAGCTCAATAAAGTTCGCAACCCCCAAGGTTAAGAAAGTGACGCGAACTGCTGCCTAATCCGTTTAGAGCGGCCCGCCCGATAGAGCGACGGTCGCGGGGCGGGGCGGCCAAATTAGTTGGATCTAACCAGAAGTCGGTCGCGGCCGCGGCGTACCGATCGGGGCGGACAGTTACGCCACCCCATCCCGCTGCATTGCTGCATCGCGTTGCAGTGCGGCGCGGCGCGGTGCGGAGCAGAGGACGCCCAGTGCCAGTCACAGGGCTGGCGGGGCGTGGCGGGGCGCGGCGGGGCGGGTGGCTCACGTAATAGTGCCCCCGCCATGCACGCCGAGGATGCGCTTGCAACAAGCTTGCTAAGCTCATTTCGCCTGCCCCGCCCCTCCCGCCGCCCCGCCCCGCCAGCCTCCTCGCCGGTGCACTTTGCTGCACTTTGTCGCCAAGCCCATTTCTCAGTTTCTCATACGGCAGGCATCGCGTCGACCCCGTTGTGACGCCCCGCCTCCGTTCGCTTCGCACCTCCAGGTACCTCCAGCTACCTCCAGGATGCGATGCAGCGCGGATAGCGTCTCACCTTTCTGACGCTGGTGTAACGCCTGCCCTGCCCTGCCCTGCCCTGCCCAGCTTGGCTGGCTTGGCCAACGCCCGTTACGCCGTGCAGTCCATGCAGTTCAAATTCGCCGCTCGCGGTGAGATAACGAGTCGTTACACACAGCCAACGGCTAACTTGACTGGCCGGCACTGCCCGTCCGTCGGCCCGTCGGCCCGGGTCGCACGCCCTGCCTGCCCGGCCCGTGGCCCGTCCGCCCGACCGCCGCGGCCGCGGCCCTCCCGGCTGGTTTCTGGTTGCTGACCAATGGGAGCGAGCGCCATCTTCATCAGTTTGGGCCACGCCTGCAGACTGATTCCGAGAGCCGTTCTCATCGCTCCGTCTCTCTCACACTCGGGGCGTCCCGTAGAGGCGCGCGCGCGCGAGAGAGAGAGAGAGAGAGAGAGAGAGAGAGAGAGAGAGAGAGAGAGAGAGAGAGAGAGAGAGAGAGAGAGGCAGCGCGACGAAAACGACTCTCGGAATCAGTCTCCTGTACGGACCGACGCACCGACACCCACCACGACTGTCTCACACGGCACTCCACACCTCACGGCTCACGCGCGCGGCCCCGCGGCCCCGCGGCCCCGGGAGGAAAAACGTGTCCTCCGCGTCGTCCATCATGGCAGCACTCTTGTTGTTGTTGTTGCTGCTCTTGATGCCGCGCGACGACGCCGACAGAGCACGTGTCTCTATTGTCATTCAAACGATGCAAGCGATAGGCGAGCCGGCGGGCTGGTTCCGAACGGGGCTCTCGTCGCGCCGTCTCCCTCGCACTCTTGGGGCGTCCCGCAGTCCCGCGGGGGTGCGAGGGAGATGGAGACGAGACGCTGCCTCTGCGAGCCCACGGGCCACGGCGCCGCCTTCCGCGAGGAGGCAATAAACCAGGCGAGACGGATAGACGGATCGGCGTCCTACTCACTTGCTCGCGTGCACCGGCCGTGCACCGGCGCCACATCTGTCTGTCTGCCTGGCTCTTGGCAGCGGCCAGGACTTCCGAATGCCGCCGGCCGTCCTCTCTGGGGCGGGGCGGCCTCTTTGGACCCGCGTCGCGTTTCGCGCGGCGGCCCAGATATTGCTCAACTCGCGCAGTAAATCGCGAGCCCCGACCCGAAAGGGTGTCGGACTTGGCGGCTTGGGGTTCCTCGGCCACTCTGGCCTCTACAGTGTGGAGTCTACACTCGCACCTGTACGGGACGAGCGCGAGTGAGACAGAGCGACGAAGACGACTCTCAGTGTGCCGAACGGACTCACCTTCCCCCAGGCGGGGCGCAGCCTCACGGCCTCGTCGGCGTCCTGGAGCGCCTGCTGGTGGCGGCCCGTGCAGTACAGCGCGTGGGAGCGGTTGGACCGCAGCAGGGGCGAGGCGGGCGCTGGAACAACCAAACAGGCAAATAAGACACAAATCCAATGGGATCCCCCGGCGCCCCGCGTCACCACGTTACGTAACGAACTGCCGAAAAAGAGGGGGGGGGCAGCGGGTGCCAAGACCACGCAGCGCTAAGCGGCACGCTCTATTTCGACTGCCGGTGTCGCGGGTAGCACCGCGTAGAATGACTCCACGCTCTGTCTCTGTCGCACACCCGAGCAAAGCCCCGTGGGTGCGAGAGAGACAGAGCAGGGGGTGGCAACGCCCTGCATCTTTCTTGACGCCATGTTCGGCCACCCCTAGCACATTAGTTTACTTCGACGAGATTCAAAGTACTAAGTCCATTAGAGCCAAGCTGTTTTGTTATTACGATATTATATGAATTGAGGAAGTGTTTAGGCCAGGTTTCAACTCAAAAACCCAAAAACTTTCCAAGATTAACGTTTTGAAAATATAAGTAGACACTTTTCTTGTAGCGATTTTAACAAAACCCAATTTTTCTCTTGTTTTCGCGACGCGGTTTCAAGGAGTGAATTGATCGTAAGTGTGCTCTCGTTTGATTATTACTTTAATATGACCTTTTAACTTGATACCGCACTCAAGTTTCATTCGATTCCTTTGCTGGGTTCAGAGAGTATCTCCTTGAAAAGAACCATGATTTAAGGGGGGGTCGAACATGGCGTCAACATAGGTGTACAGCGTTGCCACGCCCTGGACAGAGCGACGGCATATCGCTGTGAGGAATCTCTCTGCAGAGCCCCGCCATTGGGTCATTACTGCCTTTGACGTAAATTGTGCGTGTCATCGGCACGGCGCGGCACGGCGGCACACGCCACTGGAAACGGCGCAGAAAATTGGGTCGTGGGTGCTAATCAAGGGCCAGCTAGGGTTTCGGCTCGTTAACAACGCCGAGATGAAAACGAAAACGAAAGCAAAAACGTTGCGTAAACGCGCGGCGTTCCTCCCTCGAGGCGCGCGACGCGAGCGACCTTTGGGACGCGGGACGCGCCGATCAGACCCACTTCGCCCACTTCGCCCACTCGGCCTCGCTTCGTTTCACTTCCAAGGACGCCTAATTATTGTCATTACGCCACTTGGGCTTATATATTTTTTTGTGAGCGGCAGGAGTAATGTCATATCGGAACGAAATTGGAAGGAACAAGCGAGGAGACCCTGGACGTGGATAAAAAATGAGATCCGACCGGAATGAAAAAAACTGGTCGGCAATTTAGATGGTGGAGTCAGTGACGTACGACGGGCCCAGTGTGGTGGGCACGCGTCAGCGCTGCGAAGCGCCCCGCCGGGCCCTCTGGGCCGCTCTAGGCCTAGCCCGGCCTAGCCGAACTATAGTCCGTGACAACGTTTCTGTGCAGAGACCTGGCTTGGGGCGTACAGTCACTACGCAAATGCATCTTGGTTCAGCGTGGAGGGTCCGTGCTGTGGGGAAGGAGGGTCGGCCTACCTGCCATCCCCAAAGGAGGCGGGGCGCCTAGTACCGATTTCAATTTTTGCTAGGGTTAATTTTTTAATGATTTGGAGGTCATATTCTTCATCCTCGTGCAAAGAGAAGAAAAAAGATACCAGTCACTTGTTTCTACGATGATTTTGAAGGACGTAGTTGCCCGTTAAAGAAGGTGTTCAAACGAAGCACATGCCGGCTAAAATTCGAACGGAGCGTCGTAGAAACATGGTTCAAACATGCTCTTACTCTCCATTCTGTAAGGAATCCAAAAATGTTTTGCGTTTTACTCTCAAGTTGTTAGAAACTAATTTTCCTAGATTTATGCTAATTAGTCTCGGCTCGTCTTCCGAGAAGGTCCAGGACCAGACGGCGCGACCGTCACCAGGCGGCCCCGCCCCCACCCTGCGTGTCGCCGAGGCAAAAATGCTGTGGACTGTACCGACTGTACAAAAGTAGAGCAGACCATGTGTCCCTTCCCTTCAGGACACATGTGTATGCCCGAGGTGCCGAGTTTTGACTGTAAGTGTACGGCCCGAGCCAGGTCTCTGCACAGAAACGTTGTCACGGACTATAGTCGCGTGACCCTCCACGTCCTCCACGTTCGGCACACGGGGCAAGATACCCCCCCCCCACACACACACACACGTGCACACACTCACACACACCGCCCACACGCACGGGCAAGCTGGAGGAAGCCGAAAAGGAAGTGGCACCTCGGCCGCTGAGCGCGGCGGCGGGCCGTGGCCAGGGGGGCCGCCAGGGGCCGCGGCGACGCATTGACAGTGAAGCACAGTGAAGCTACAGCCCCTCCCCGCGGAGGGGGCGGGGGGCGGGGGCAGCAGTCCTTGGACTGGGCGCGCCGAGCCCCGATTGGGGGAGGGGGAGTGGGTGGGGGCGGGTGGGGGTGTGCCGGTAGGGGCCGGCAGAGGACACCATGCGAGCGAACGCGAAGCAAGCGCGAAAGATTACATAACAGCTCGGTTTCGGCAGGGCGGGCAGGGCGGGCCGCACTGGCCGCTGCTGGCCTGGCGATAGAGCGCGTCGCCGAGGCGGCACGCGTCATCTAGGCCTAGGGCCAGCCAGCCCGCCAGCCCGCCCGCCAGGGGTTCGGGGGCCTCAGCGAACGGGACTCGCTTCGAGGGGAGCAGTCTCGTGGGCCGCCTACACGCCTAGGTGCCTAGATCGCCTAGATCGCTCGCTAAAGGAGCCTCGGCCGCCACGCCGCAACTGGAGCGTCCGGCGGTCGCAGAGGCGGTCGCGGGCTGCAGGTCGAGACCGTCGAGACGTCCGGCCGGGAAGGTCAATGTCAGCCCCCTTCCAGCCTCCAGAGTGCAGGCAGCGGCAGCCAGCCACTTTCGCCGCGCTGCCGACGGGTCGGGCGGAGGGGGCGCCGCCGTCGTCGCGCCGTCGTCCTCGTCCTGAGCGGGCGGTGGCCTGGCGGTGGCCTGGCGGTGGCCTGGCGGTGTAGGGCGCTGGCGGCGCATCGCGTGCGGCTGCCCTAGGTCACGGCCGGCCCTTACGTAAGGCGGAGGCGCACCGCCGCGTTACCGCCGCAGCAGCCCCGCCACGCAATGACCGCCGCCACCGTGCAGACGCGGCGGAACGGGGCGGGACGGGGCGGGCCGCCGATGTAAACGGAGCGGCAGGAATAAACCCTTCACGCCGCCGACGACGACGACAAGGCGACGTAACGGCCTGCATCTACTGAGGCGCACACTTACATAAGGGGAGCAGCACGGCGCAGCACGGCACGGCGCAGGTGCGGTGACCAGGAGGCCGGGTAGGCCGGCAAGGCGCCCCACCCACGACCCGAGGCGGCCCCTTCGCCTGGATTCGCACACGTGTGCAGTGTGCCGCCCGCCCGCCCGCCCTGCACCAGGGCGGCGTCGTCGTGTCGTACACACACGCACACCGCACGCCGCCTAAACAAAGGCGAGCACCGCAAAAAAAGAAGTGGCTACTTTTCAACTTGACAATCAATGCCTCTGACGCTTCTGGTTGTCTCAACGCGCACAGCGCTGACGTGACATCACGGTTAAATTTTGGCGGTTGTGAACGCGACCGATTTCGGCCGGAACGCTCGGCGTCGAAGGACGCGGCCCGTATCCTTGAACGCGGCCACGGCCAGGCCGGCCAGGCCACGGCCTCCAGGTCACTGACTCCGCACCGCACCGGCCTGGCCGCTGCGAGCACGTCGGAAGCCTGCTGCACCGCGCCGAGACGCGCCAAGGCGTTCCAGTGGGTCCAGTTGTTTTGGCGGCGAGGGCAGGGGCACGCGGGGTCACGTCCTTGTCGATGTCGATCCAGCGGGCCGGCCAGCCGGAGTGGCGCAACATAGCCGCTCCCCGGCGTGCTGCCCGCGCTGCCGCACTGCGCTGCTTGCCCAAGCACTCCACTGCGAACGGTCCATAACCCGCAGCGCCGGCAATGGCAGAACAGACCGAGAGCCGTTTTCGTCGCTCTGTCTCTCTCGTCGGCCCGTATGGGTGCGAGAGAGTCAGAGCGACGAAAACGACTCTCGGTCTGCAGCGATGCAGCATAATGACTTGCCTCGTCCCATCCCGCCAAATCGATTCCGACAGCGGCTCCCCCTCGCTGCTCTTCCCCGACGCGTTGCTCGCTTCGCACGCCGCCGACGCGCGGGCAGGTAACGCGGTAACACGGTTCCCCGCCACGTAACGCCGTGCTCGAGGCTCGGCCGGGCATGGCCAAGGGGGTCACGGCCAGATGCAAGTGCAGGTGCCGGAGTGCGCCGCCCGGAGAGAGGGGCGTGGCGGGGCGGGGCGGGGCGGGCGGCAGAGGCCCCACCGCGGCCCCACCCCGCCCTGCCCCGCCCTGCCCCGCCCCGCCGCTTATGTAACAGCCCAGGCCATCGCGGCCGGCCGGCCCCTCACCAGCCCGGGCCGTGCAGGCCGTGCAGGCCGCGCGGGATGTGTCGACGACCGACGTGCCGAGATCGTGTCACGGCTCGTCACACAAGCGGTCACACCGTCACACCCCGGCGCTGTCACAGTGCGCACCGCCCGCAAGCGGGAACCATGCACAGCCGGCACGGCACCCGCGGCTGAGACGGCACGAGGAAGATGAGGAAGACGAAGAAGAGCAGCGAGAAGACCGAAGGCCGGCAGGAGGCGAAGATCGAACAAGAGGAGACGGAGTACCTGTTGCGGCGAGAAGCCCTACCGCGGCCCAGCGGTAACATCACGCTAGACTCACCGGAGCGGGGGAAGGGGGAAGGGAGGGGGAGGTGCGTATTGAGCTGGTCAGTTGGGCCCGCAGCGGAGCGCGCTCGTGGCGGGGCGGGGCGGGGTGGCGGGGGGGGGGCGGGGCGGGGCGGGGCGGGGCGGGCTGCACGGGCCGCCGCCGGCGCGTAAGGCGACACCACCTGATGCCATGGGAACAATCCGCTGAGAAAATTGGGCCATTATGTAAGCGATTGATTACAGAGCGATTAGCAGTGGACGCGCCTGTCGCGCTTCTCGCCCCTTTTCCTTTATATAGACGGACCCTGGCGTCGCGGCCACGCGGTACATAACGGAACG